GCGAGGGGGGGGGCGTGCCGTGGGCGTGGAGAGCCGGTGTGTGACCGGGAAGGTGTGTTTCAGCGTGCGGGAGTGTGAGCTTGCACGCCCCGCCCCGCCCCAAGGCCGGGCAGGTGTGGGCGGGCCGCGCGGACCCCGCCAAGCTCGGGCCTGGAGCGCCGGCGGGAAACAGGAAGCGGAGGGGAGGGAGGCGCAGCCGGACGGCGGGGAGGCAGGGCGTGCGGGCGGACGTGCGGGTGGCCGGCCAGCCGGACGCTCGGGCCGGGCCGGGGCGACGATGTGGGGAGGCCCGGGCAGCCCCCGCGGCCGCGGGGACGGGGGCGGAGCCGGGGGCGCCGCCCGGGGCACCGCGGACAACGCTCCCCTGCGCCGGCGGAGCCGCCGCCCGAGCGCAGAGCCTGGAGCCCGAGGCAGCGGCGGCGTGCGGGGTGAGTCGGGCGAGCGGTGGCCACGCACCGCGGGGCCCACAGGGCGCGAGGGAGGGACCCCAGGGACGCCCGGCGAGCGGCCGGGCGGGCGACGCCCGGAGGTGGGATCGGCCGGCGCCCCCAGCCCTGCGCGCCCCGCTGACTACCCGCGCCCCTGGCCCGCAGACCCCGAGGACGCAGCCATGCCAGGCGGGGTCGAGGCGGGGGAGGCGGAGGAGGAGGCGGGGGCCGGCTCCGGGTCCGAGGCAGAGGAGGACGCCCTGTGGGAGCGGATCGAGGGCGTCCGGCACCGGCTGACGCGCACCCTCAACCCGGCCAAGCTCACGCCGTATCTGCGCCAGTGCCGGGTCATCGACGAGCAGGACGAGGAGGAGGTGCTGAGCACTTACCGCTTCCCGTGCCGCGTCAACCGCACTGGTGAGCCCGGGGTCTCGGGGGTCGGGCCTGAGCGGGCGGTGCCCCGGATCGCCTCGCAGAGCGCTTCGGAGCGTGAGGCCTGGTGGTCTGGTCCCCTGGGCTTCGGTCCCCGCATCCGTAGAGTGGGATGGTTGGTATGCCCACCATCCTGCCTTCTCCCCCGCTACCACTATGACCCGGTGGGTCCGCGGCGCCCACATCGGCATCTGGGTTTTGTCCGTCTTGGGGTTTCCGCCCACTTCCTGGGCCCACATTAGAGCAGAGGTTGGATGTGGTCGCCAGGGCAGGCTAGGCCTGGGACCTCCGCGTCACAGCTGGTGGATTTGGCATCGCCTGTGCCCTTTGATCTCCTTGGTTCTCTTTGCACTGTCCCTCTGTGAGCCACTCACTCCTTGGAGAGTTATCTTCCCCCAAGTGCTCAGGACCCACCTCAGCTTAATGAGTGTGCCCTCTCCCTGTCCTCACAGGGTGTGCCTTTGGAACGGATGAGGGTCTAATGGACTTTTTAGGCTAATCCAATGGGAGAAATATTTTACTTTGCGTTTGGGGGTAGAGGGGGCTTCTCTGTGTCATTGAAAAGCCAGGCAGCACTTGATGACCTTGATCTCTGTGTGTGTAGGGGACTAGGCAGAGGGGGTTGGGGCGCTGTTGAAGCACAGGGGCATTGGTGGGGGTCCTGGCTGTCCTGGCTGTCCTGGCTGTCCTGGCTGTGGCAGACAGGATCTGCCCCTGATGTGTTGAGACAGGTCCCTGTGTGTATCTGTGGCTTAATTATCTGGGGAACGTGGGCCCTAGAACATTGTGGGGGAAGGAAGTGGCTAGGCACTGGGGAAATCTCTCACCTTGAACCCCGGGCACCCTTTCGCCGCCATTCCGCAGGGCGTCTGATGGACATCTTGCGCTGCCGTGGCAAGAGGGGCTATGAGGCCTTCCTGGAAGCCCTGGAGTTTTACTACCCCGAGCACTTCACGCTGCTCACCGGCCAAGAGCCCGCCCAGCGCTGTTCCATGATCCTTGGTGAGTAGGTCCACTGTGGGTGCCGCACCTCGGACACCAGTGCAGATGCTCCTTGCCCCATTCCTGTCAGGGAGGCACTCCCATTATCCCTGTTGACCAGATAGAGAGACTGAGGCACAGAGAGATCTGAAGCAGTTTGCCCAAGGTCCCACAGCAGACTTGAGTGTGGGGCTGGGGTCCTAATTCAATTAGCCTGAGTTCAGAGCCCACACACTCAACAAGGGGAAAGAGTTCTTTCCCCCTAAAGTTATTTTCAGACATGCATGTGTCAGGCATGCATGGGTGTACAGTTTCTTATGTAAAAAATTCAAACACTCCAGGTGATTTCAGAATAAAAAGAAAAGATTTTTACTTTTTCCTTCAGCTCTGCTCTGCTGGTAAGACTTTGGCGAGTCTCCCTTTTCTTGCATTTATACACACACACACACACACACACACACACACACACACACGCGCGCGTGCGCACGGGATCATCCTACATGTGTTGCTCTGTGTTTTGCTCTTTCTCAGAACTGATTTTTGTGATTTTCCCACATCTGTTATTTTAAATGACTGCATAGTGTTCATTAGTGATGTTGTGCCGTAAGGCATTTAACTGGCCCCCTGTTGATGGACATCTCGGTTGTTTCTAGTTTCGTAACCTTACAAATGATGTTGGGAACATACTTGTATGTGCATCTGTGTATGCTTAGGAGGAGAGGTTCTGAGAAGTAAAATTTGTCAACGAGTATGTGTATTTTACACGTTAAATCAACATACATCCCATCAGCAGTATATGAGTGTCCATTTCGCCATACCCTCATGCATCCTGGGGATCATTGAAAAACATTTTTGCCAGTTTGATATGTCAAAGGTAATGTTATTTTAAGTTTGTACTTCATTGAGAAGTACTTCACAGCTTACTAGTTAGTAAACCTTGGGCAAATGACTTGACCTTTCTGTGCCTCAGTTTTTCTGTCTTTAAGGTGGGTACAATAATAGTACCTATCTTAAGTGTTGTCATGAAGATTAAATAAGTGAATATATATATATATATATATATATCCCAAAGAATAAAGTAAAATGTTAGTGGCTATTATTGTTATTATTGCTGGTGAGTTTGAGCATATTTTCCTATGTTTGTTAGCCATTTTTATTTTGGGACTTATCTACTGATAGTTTTTACCCATATTTTTATTTCGTTGGTTTCCTTTTCTTGTTGATTTGTAAAAGCTCTTTATATATTGTGGCTCTGAATACTTTGTTACAGTTTTCTCCTGCTCAGTTGCTTGTCTTTTAATTTCGTTTGTTACATCTTTCATTATTCAGAAATTTAAACATTTTTTTATGTGGAGTTGTCCCATCTTTTATAGCTCTGGGATTTTGTGCCTTGTTGAGGAGGGCCTTCCTTACCCCCAAATTATAAAAATATACTCCAGAATTTCCTTCTAGTGTTTTTATGGTGTGGGTTTTTCTGTGCGGTTTGCTGGATTTTATTTGCCTGACTTGACTTTTCTGTCCCCTGTCCTCGGCAGATGAGGAGGGGCCTGAGGGCCTGACCCAGTTTCTGATGACGGAGGTGCGGCGGCTGCGGGAGGCCCGAAAGAGCCAGCTGCAGCGGGAGCAGCAGCTGCAGGCTCGGGTCCGGGTGCTCGAGGAGGAGCGGGCAGGGCTGGAGCAGCGGTTGCGGGAGCAGCAGCAGGCTCAGGAGCGCTGCCAACGGCTGCGGGAAGACTGGGAGGCAAGCAGCCTGGAGCTGCTTCGGCTCAAGGATGAGAACTACATGATTGCCATGCGTCTGGCCCAGCTCAGTGAGGAGAAGAACTCAGCCGTGCTGCGCAGCCGTGACTTACAGCTGGCGGTATGCCCTGGGAGATGGGCGGGGTTGAGTGGGGAAGAGACAATCTTTGAAAAAAAAAATCCCCCAAAACAGTGATATGGTAGCCAGCTCGTGTTCCAGAGCCACTGTCTGCCAACTGTTGGACCCTGAGCAAGTCCCTTCACAGCTCTGTGCCTCAGTTTTCTCATCTGCATTATGGAGGTGTTGATGGCACTTATTTCACTGAGTTATGACTGGGGTTCTCAGTTTTGCCCCTCAGAAACATTAGGCCGTGCCTGGAAACATTTTTGGTTGTTACAGCTAGGAGTGTGCTATTGGCATCCAGTGGGTAGGGGCCAGGGATGCTGCTAAACATTCTACAGTGCACAGGACAGCCCCCCCACAACCAAGAATTATCAGGCCCAAAATGTCAGTAAGTACTGAGGCGGAGAAACCTCGAGTTACGAGGATTCTGTGAACTTAAGACACCCGGTGCCTGGCACAGAGTTAATGCTCAAAGCTTGTATCACCATTAGGTTGTTGTTATTATTAAGTGCTGCTGTGTGCCATGCAGGTTACATGTGTCACGTCATACGATCCCAGGAAAGCACCATGGTCTAGTATCTCATTTTGAAACCCAGACCCTGAAGCTTAGGTTGTAAAGGGACTTCCTCATCACAAAGCCAGGAAATGGAACAGCCTGGATTTGAACCAGGTCTGCCTGGCACCAGTGCTGGTCTCCACCCCATGATGCTTTTCTGCCTGCTCGCATCCAGGTGAAACCTCACCCAGTCCTCTCCAGCAGTGAGTGAGGCCGCGCCTCTTACAGGTTGGGAAGCCGAGTCTCGCTTTCTTGGTGTTTTATTGGTAATTAGCATGGGGATAAAAGTGGTAATTTACTTCCCTAGGGAATTGTTTCAAGGATTTAACGAGCTAATGCTTGTCAAAGTTTTAACAGTGCCAGCCGCACACAGTAGGCTATCTCCAGCAACACTGTGCCAGGTTCCACGGGGTATTCCGACCATGGGATTTGAAACCTCCTGACCTCATGAGTCTCGGCTAAGGCTGTGGTGTTGCTGGCCGTGACAGGTGCCCGTAGGAGGTTGCTGGTGTGAGTGTATCTGTGTACGGGAGTCTGAGGCTGTGCATGCCGGCAGGTTGATGTTTGGGGAAGTGAGTCCTGATTGTGGGTGTTGAGACCACAGGTTGAAGGGCCCAGGCTGTAAGGCCCGCTGGAGGGTGTAGGAGGTTAATGTGTGGGTGGGAGGTGACCAGGAGACTGTCCTCTAACGGTCTGCTTGGTGTTTGGCATGAGAGGGGGCTGTCTGAGGCCCAAAGACTGGCTGCAGATTGAGTGAAGGGTGGCATGGGCAAGGATTCCCTCCCTGGGCCTCAGTTTCTTCATCATATGGGAGCAGGAGGTCATGGATCAGGATGATATAACAACGAAGCAGCACCTCCTATGAGCCAGGCAGGGTCCTCACTGCTTGCCATGCACCAACTCCTTGAATTTTCCAGCGACTCTATTGGGACAAGGTGGGGCCACTATTGTCCCCATTTGTGGATGAGGAAACTGAGGCACAGAGAGGTTGGTTATAGCACTTTGCCAGGGTCCCAAGATAGAGAATTTCTGACTTTGCTCTTGGCACTGTTGGCTGGGGTAGGGAGCTGGGGTCCCCGCTCTTTACCCATGTCCTCTTTTTCTGAAATGGACATGAGACTTGCTGTGAAATTTTGGAAGAAAGGGTTCTGCTGCTCAGAGATGACAGCATGATGGCCACTGGCCCAGGGGTGTTGGGAGAGGCTGCGGCTGGCCTGGCTTGTCTCACCTTTGGGTTGGGTGTGATTGTGAATTGGGTCCCCTGAAGTGGCAGATGTATGCATATGACTGCGGGAGGTGGGGGGGGGGTGTCCTATGTGTGTATGTACAGCTGTCTGGGGTCTCCTGGGGTGGGGTAGAGGGATGAAGAAGAGGCATTAGAAGTGCCTCTGTATCTCCAGATTAGATGCAGGCTGATCTGATGCAGATTAGGTGCATAGTATGACCACATGGGGATAATTACGGTAATCTGCCACTACGCAGAGAATGACTGCTTTTTCCTAGTCTAAGGGTAGAGAGTAAGGGGTGAAATTCAATTAATAGATAAGTTTTTCTTTAAACATAGCGCCTGCAAATTTGCCTAAATTTTGGGGGCTTTTTGCCACAAAATTAACAAAGGCATTGCAGGTGGAAATGAACAGAGCAGCTGATGGCGCCTGTCTTGGCAGCTTGGGTCTCCTTCCCCCAGGGACAGGTGTGTGTGGTGGCTGTGATTTAATACTGTGTTTTATAAGGTGCGAATTTAATGAGCTGTTATTTCTAACCAACATAAACTTAAGGAACCAACGCTGTAATTTTGTGCTAAGTGAGTTTGTCCACCAGGATTAAATGCATCCGCATTTCCTGGCATTCAGTGAAGACTCCCAGGTGCTCTGTGCCCTGAGCTCATCGGGGGAGCTTGCTGGCCAAGGGTCAGGCAGTGGTGTGTGGCTGCGGTTTGCTGGAGAGGGTGTGACCACGCTTGCCCTTGTAACTAGCTGTCTTTCTCTGGCAGTTCACAAAGCATGTTTTGTGAGGGGAAAGGAATGTGAGAGTCATGAATTTCTTTCTGAGTCCTTTGCGGAGGAGGAGCATCGTGGAATTGCCTGACCTAGCCTCCAGACCCTTGTGTGTGTGTGTGTGTNTGGGGGGTGAGGGGAGTGGGGTGGGTGTGGGTGGAGGGGAGTGGGTGTCCAATTCCCCAAAGCCCAGTAACAAATGAGGGATTTGATCCTGGTTTCCTGGTCTACAGAAAGACTACTTATTCTCTCAAGCGTAGTTGAAGTCACCAGGTTCCTGTCTGGGAGAGGGCAGCCCTGCCTATGATCGTGGCTTCCTCACTTGTACCTGCGATAGAAACAGGCCCGCCCCCTGGGCTTGCGTGAGATGGAATGAGTTCAGCGCCCAGCACAGAGGTGAAGTTCCCTCAGCGAAGCCAGTGGAACGATTATTCACCAGCCTGCGGCAGCGCCCGCCCACACCCCTCATCTCCTCCCCTGGTGGGGGTCTGAGTCATGGGGACAGTGGTGAGCAGGACGATGGCTGGGAATGGTGCAAGTTCCAGCAAGTGAGAGGAATGAAGGGCGCTTTGGGAAACTAAGATTTTCTACCCCTGGGCTTTTGCGCTGGCTGTTCCTGCTGCCTGGACTGCCCTTCCCTCTCTCGCCTCCCCTGCAGCTTCAGTTTTTGATGTCCGTGGGCAAAATGGAGATTTCCCTCTTCTGACCACTTTAAGCAACTTAATTTAAAGTGGTTGGTCCAGGGCAGGTGTGTGGGGGGCTGTTACACAGGTCTGGGTGGGGCCCCCTCCCCCATGCTTAGTATAGCACCAATGGTATCGGTCATAGGGCTGCACACGTTCCAGCTGCTTTCTCTTCTGAAAAATGGGGATTACAGGAGGATCTACCTTGGGGGTTTGTTAAGAAACTCTAAGGAGCTAATTCTGGAAAACACTGGTACTTAATATGTCCTGGATAGAATATGTGATGAGCTCTCAAAACTGTTAGCCATTGTCATTAAACGCCAATTTTGTGCCCAGCACTTTACATAAAGTNTGTGTGTGTGTGTGTGTGTATGTGTGTGTGTGTGTGTGTGTGTGTGTGTGTGTGTGTGTGTGTGTTGCCATCCTTGTCTCTGAGAGGTGGGAGGCTACAAGTCATTTTCCAAGAGAGGCCAGGGCACTCCTAGGACACCAGATGTTGGCACGCCTGAGTGTAGCACCAGAGGTCATGGTGCCCTTTTCCCAACAATGACTTCATTTTGTGGCTTGCCACTTACTGCTACTCTTGTCACTGTCTAGCCACCTCAGACCCCACCTGAATTTGGAAAGTAACTCTGGCTGAGTACACTCATAATCCAGTGAACTGGTCATGCGTATCTGCTCTCAGCCAGGTGGCCACCACAAAGCACCCATCCGCCACCCTGGCCAGCTTCTGGCTGCACACACCAAATGGGTAACAGGTTGGGATTCTGGGGTTTTTATTTAAAGCTGTAAAGACAGCCACTGTCACACCCCTGGCAGCTCTACATCCAGCCTCTGACAGTTTAAAGGTCTCTGTCCACGCTCTGTCTTATTTGATTCTTGCAATGGCTTTGGGAGGCAGGTGATGGAACAGGGGAATTGAATGGGCCCATTTTACCGATGAGGAAACTGAGGTCCAGAGGAGGTAAGCGACTTGCTCAGGATAACAGAGGGTAAAAGTGGTAATATTTGAAACCTGGACCCCTGGCTTGGAGTTCTTACTGGGGATGAACCAACAGCACCGTCCTCCTGAATGGGGGCCTAGGTAGGAATGTCTTAGAGAAAGGAGCAGACTCACATCTGTTTCATGAGTGTATATTGAGCTGGGTCACTGGTTGGGAAGGGAACCTCCTGGGTAAGACCCTCAAAACCATCCTCTTCTTCCTCTCCCCCTGGAGATGAGGAGACTGAGGTACAGAGAGGGGCCATGACTTGCCCAAGGCCACCCTGAGTTAGAGGTGGAGCTGGGCCCAGACCCTGGTTCTCCCGTATTCTTGGTGCAGCCCTCCATCTCCTCCACCGTGCTGGCACTGGGCTCCATTGCCTGTACTGCATGTCGAAACCGCGGGATGGACGGATGTGCTATAATGCAGCACCTCTGCCTACAGGTTCTTGAAACAGAGTTCCCTGGGGAAGTGGCTTGGCCTTGCTGTCGCCTTCCTTCCCCATTGTATTTGCCCAGCCTGTACTTTCTTCATAGACAAGTCCAGGAGGACTCCTGCTCAGATCTCTCTGGGGATCCAGGGGGCACTCAGGAGTGAGGAGCAGGACCTCTCCCTATTGGCTTTATTGGGGTCCCATTCCCCCCGCCCCCCGGGCTTACCCATGTCTCTCTCGGTGCCCAGGTGGATCAGCTTAAGCTCAAGGTGAGCCGGCTGGAGGAAGAGTGCACACTGCTGCGCGTGGCCAGGGGGCCACTCCCCGGGGCCGAGGAGAAGGAGAAAGAGCCAGACAGCACTGACCTGGTCTCTGAGTTGCGCGCTGAGAACCAGCGGCTGACGGCGTCCCTGCAGGAGCTGCAGGAAGGCCGGCAGCAGGTACATGGGGCAGGGCAGCGCTGGGGGGGTCAGACCCTCCTGCTGCTCACTCATCCTCCTGAGGCCAGAGAATGAGGAGTCTACACCCGGGACCTGAGATCTGGCTGGGACCCTGGCTGGCCTCTTGCCATAAGCCTTGATTGGAGGGCCCTTAGCGCTTGGCTCCCCTGGCATTTAGTCTGGAGTCTGTGGGTGGCGCCAGGAGGTCCTGAACTTCCTGAAGCTGTGCACCTGATTTTGTGTATGAGCATTTTCCTGGGGAGAGGGCCCCCAGCTTTCCTCGGATTTGTAGAGCAATCTGTGACCCTGGAAAGGTTGAGACCCCTAAGGTATGGGTGGGTGGCCCTGGGGCTTGCTGGGTATTCTGTGGCAGGTCAGTGGCAGTGTGGGCTGGCCACCTGGCCATTGCTCCACACAGGAAGTGGAGGATGGGGGCCAGGGCTCTGGTGTTTTATAGGGTTGAGGGTACCTGGCTGGGGTGTGGGTCTGGATTTTGGGCCTATAGTCTACCTGCCTGGGCCAGGCTCAGCGCCTATGAAGACCCCCTGGCAGAGAGGTGGGAATAGGACTTGGAAATAGTTATCCGTCTGCTGATCTGGGTGACGGGGTCAGGGCCAGAGCAAGAGAGAGGGCCTGGTTCTTGTTTAGGAGCAAGATTCTGGCTGAAGTTGTCTGAGCATGTCCTCATCCACTTACCTCATTTGCACCCCAGATGCTCCCTGGAGAGTGGGCAGGGCTGGTGGGGCTCTACCCTACATATCGGAAACCGTGGTTCAGAGAGGTCAAGGCCCTTGGCCGAGGTGGAAGAGCTAGTGGGGTGGGTCCGAGGGCTGAAGGCTGCGTATCCCCCTTCCCCCTGACACTCAAGGTGGGCTCTGGGCCAGAGGCTGAGGCAGCTTTGGATTCTGACTCCCAGGAGGCAAGCCGGCCCGGGGCCCCAGGCTCAGAGCGCATCCTCCTTGACATCCTGGAGCACGACTGGCGGGAGGCGCAGGACAGCAGGCAGGAGCTGTGCCAGAAGCTGCACGACGTGCAGGGGGAGCTGCAGTGGGCCGAGGAACTGCGGGACAAGGTGCCATCCACCGGGCACCACCCCCCACCCGGCCCCGCCCCTGCCTTCCTTCTTGCCAACAGCCTGGGGAGGCTCCTGGGAGGGGGACGGTGGTGGGCATCACCAGTTTACTTGAGCCAACCTTCCCTGCAGGTGTGCCAAGCACTGCACTAGGAATTGTGCATTCATTCATTCTCAAGTATTTATTGAGGTCCATCAGTGAACAAAACAAATGTCCGCTCCTGTGGAGAGTAAATTCTTGGAGGGGAGACAAACCGTATGCCCTACACCTAAGTCAACCACTTCATGTAGCGGAGCGTGACGAGGGCTGCGGGAGAAGCACAGCAGGGCAGGAGGGCCTATTGCAGCTAAAACGGGGAAGCCAAGGTTAGCCGGGAGGGTGTCATTGTTGTTAGTCCGATTTTACAGATTAGGCAGGTGAGGCCTAGTGAGGTGAAGTCAGGCCCAGCTGTGGGGGGGTGGGCACTTGTTATTGGGGCTCAGGGCTCGCTCCCTGGACCTGCTGGGCACCTGCTGGTTAGCTTCCCCTGGTCCCCAGCCCTGTGGTCTGACCTGGGCACGTTCTACCCTCTGCTGCTCTGCCCACCCACCCGTCCACCCACAGTACCTGCAGGAGATGGAGGACCTGCGGCTGAAGCACCGCACGCTGCAGAAGGACTGCGACCTGTACAAGCACCGCATGGCCACCGTCCTGGCCCAGCTGGAGGAGATAGAGAAGGAGAGGGACCAGGTGAGCCCGCCTGCTGCATTCAGGGCCCTGGCCCGGCCATTGGTTCTCATAAAGCAGCAGACCAAGAGAAGCAGACAGTACTAGAATTGTAGAAAAGAGACTTCAACAGTGCACTGATCCATTTGGGGGAGTGGGGGGCAAGTGGGCCGGGAGAAACACAGACACGGGGCCTTGAACGCTCGAGATACGCCAGCCTTGCCCTCTGAGCACACCTGCCTCATCTGAGCTCCTGTGACAGGAAAGTTGGTCCTGATGCTCATTTTTGAATCCCTGTTCTCACCACATCAAGGACAAGGCCTACACAGGGGAGGTGCTTGCAAATATTTGCTGATGAAGAAATTCTCAAAAGTTTTGGCTCCCAGGCCCTGAGCACCATGGCTCTTATCGCCTAAAGCCACAGGGTGGGCTGAGGACCCCGGGCCAGCTCCTCTGGGCCCCCAGTGTTTTTGCCTGCTGCTCCCACTCAGTGGGGAGGGCAGGGGTTTTTTGTCTTTGGACCAAGTTTGAATCCCAGTAGAGGAGTTAAAGCCTACACATCAGAATGGGCCTCAGGATCCCCCGATGGGCTTGGTGAAAAGGCAGATTTGCAGCTTTATCCCCAGACATTCTGACTTTGTGGCCTGTGTGGGTCCAGGGATCTGCACTTCGCCCGGTTGCTCCTGGCCCCTGGGCCTCTGGCTCCAGCCTCCCCTGAGGGAGTGGGTGGCAGGTCTGGGCCACAGGCCCAGCCCTCAGGGACCCTGACCTTCATTGTGGGGAAATGTGCTTTGGATGCAATGGGCTGGGTGTGAACCCAGGCACCTCCACTAGCCGGGATGTGGTGACTAAGGCTGGCTGCACACAGTAGGTCTCACAGAGCTTTAAGTTGTTCTAGGGAAATGGTAAGAGCCTGGACTCTGCAACCAGACTGCCTGGGCTTGACTCCCAGCCCTGCCCCTGATTGCCTTGGTTTCTTTATCTATAAGATGAGAAAAAATGAGAATCTCTAACTTGGAGAGTTAGTGTGCAGATTAAATTAGCTGATATTTAGCACAGGGCCCGGCATACAGGAAATGCTTTTCCTGCTGCCACCCCCATCGTGTGGTCAGAGGCCAGGACAGTTGAGTCAGTGTGGCGCCTTCACCCTGCTCGCCCTCTCTTCCCAGGCCATCCAGAGCCGCGACCGGATCCAGCTCCAGTACTCGCAGAGCCTCATCGAGAAGGACCAGTACCGCAAGCAGGTGCGGGGCCTGGAGGCCGAGCGGGACGAGCTGCTGACCACGCTGACCAGGCTGGAGGGCACCAAGGCCCTGTTGGAGGCACAGCTGCAGCGGGCCCAGGGAGGCCCCTGCCTCAAGGTGACAGGGGCAGGGTGCAGGGGTCCTGCTGGGCATGCTGGGGTCCTGGCAAGAGCTCTTGGTCAGGGCTGGGGACATGCTGGACCTGGTGGGGAAGCTCATCCAGGGGGAGGAACGTGGGGGAACTGGCAGGAGACCTCAGCTTGGAGTGGGACTTGAGGGACTGGGTGGGAAACTTCAGTGGGGGTGGGACCGCAGCGGACCCATTGGAAACCCTCAGCCGGGCTTGAGAAGATGCACATTCTGGGAAGGGGACATGGGTCCTGGCTGGAGCCCTCACCCTGGGCCCAAGAATATGCTGGTGTTGGAGGGAACTCTTGGCCAGGATGGAGACTATGCCAGTCCGGTGGGGAGCTCCGGCTTGGTTGGGTGTGAGCTGGTGCATTAGGGAGCAGGACAGAGGCATGTGGGTCTCTGAGTTTCTGGGGTTGCTTCTGGGGCTCTAAGACTAGTTTGAAGCCTGTCTTTTCGTACACTTGGAGAAGCCTGGCTGCCCGAGGGCCTGCGAGCATCTTGGAATGCAAAACATAAACCCTAAAAGTCCCTCAGAGGTCAGCTAGTCCATTTCCCTCATTGCGCAGGGCCCAGAGAGGGTCAGGGGCTTGCCCAAGGTCACACAGCCAGCCAATACTGGAGCTGGACCCCAAGACCCCTTGTAAACTAGATACTAGTTCTTGGACTCTGTCAGGAACTCTGCCTTTCCCCATCTTGGCTTTGCTTGGAGATAATCAGCTGGCCAGGTGTTTAATACCTGGAGGAATAGAACAAAGCAAGTGTGACTCTGTGACTTCTCACTTCTTAAAACCCTCAGTGGTTTTTTTGCTCTTACATAAAGACAAAGCCCCTTACTGTGCCCCAGAGGCCCTGCAGGTGAGTCCCTCCCCTCTCCAGCCTGGTTCTCTGGGTCTTAGCCTTTCCATCCCTGGAATGTGTCCTATTCCTGTCCCAGGGACTTCGCACATTCTGTTCTGCCTGCCTAGACCATCTGCCCCCAGCCCCGACTTGATCTACTTAGCACCTTCGTATCCTTCAGTTCTCAGTTCAAACCACCTTTCTCAGGAAAGCACTCTGATGCCACCAGCTTGGGTGGGCCTTTGCGTCCCTTCCCTGCTCTCGTGGAAGCATGGAGCCATTTCCTTCACCTGTCTGCATGTTTACAGTTGGTGTTCCTCCTCTAGGCTGAGAGCTCCGTGAGGGCAGGGACCCGGCTCCCTCAGTCCTGCTGTGTCCCCGTTCCTGACACGCAGCAGACATTCAGTCAGTGACCGAGGCTGGCCCTCGCCCAGCACTGCTGACTTCTCTGCTACCCCTTCCTCTCCCAGGCCTGTGCCTCCTCCCATTCCCTGTGCTCCAACCTCAGCAGCACCTGGAGCTTGAGCGAGTTCCCCTCCCCGCTGGGAGGCCCAGAAGCAGCAGGGGAGGCCGCTGTCATGGGGGTACCTGAGCCCCACACCTTGGTAAGACATCTGCCCCACCCTGAAGATGGGGGGATAGTAATAGCATTCACATAATTACTAACGTGTAGAGTGCTTTCCAGTTTACTGACTGTTCCATTTCACATATGAGGAAATTGAGGCCCACGAAGGCCAAGCGCCTTATTTAAGCTCACCCAGGGCCAGTTCCATGCTGGGCCTGGGCAATTTGGGGGACCACTCACACACGATAATCTTGCAGAGCCCACTCCTCCACTATTGGCCCCAGTTCTCATCTGTGGAATGGGGACAGACTTAGGTGTGTTGAGTTGTGGGAAGGTGCCGTGGGGGTGACCCAGGCCCTCTCGTGACATTGCAGGAGAAGGCCACAGACAGCGAGAAGGAGATCAACCGACTTTCCATCCTGCCGTTCCCGCCCAGTGCCGGCTCCATTCTCCGCCGACAGCGTGAGGAGGACCCTGCACCTGCTAAGAGGTTAACAGGCTGGGAAGAGAGCCATAGAGGCCCAGAGAGGTGGAGCTGCTATTTCCTGAAACAGCCACCTCCCAGAGTCCCTAATGCCAGAGTCAACTTTAGGCAGTCACCTCCCTTTGCCTTTAAATGGCTGGCACTCTGTATACCTAGGCCCTGAGACTAACAGTCGTGACTGAGGTCAGAGGTTAAGACAAGGCCAAAGGGCAGAGTAGGCTCAGCCCCAGCCAAGCATCCTGGTGGGAGAGTCACTGGAGGTTGAGCCTCAAAGTTCCAAAGTCCAGGGGGAAACCTGGGTGGTGTAGGACTAGGGCATGTGGAGAATGTTTCAAGGGGTCAGGGACCTCAGGCAAGGAAGCTGGCCCCAGGTTTGGGCATCAGCAGCCAACGGGAGCCAGAAATAAAAACAGCCATCTCCACTGGTGGCAGGACTGAGGACAGGGATGTGCGGACTCCTGGTGTATGTCTCAGTCACAGGCTTGATCGTATGAGTGAATCTGCCATGAAGGGGGTGTGCAGTGAAGGGGTTGTGGTCTAGCGTGGAAGACAGGCCCAGGAGCCACGGATGACAGTGTAGAAAGTGAGGGTGAATGAGGGGTGAGAAGTCAGGGGAGGCTTCCTGGAGGGGGTGGCATTAAAGGACAGGCCAGGGCATTCTAGGTGGAAGGCCACGGGGCTGAGGTCAGGATGTTAACTTCTTGCCCTGTGAGGTTAGGGGAGATGGTGGCATGAGTGCACTGTGCCTGGAACCCCTACCTTGGGTCTAGCCTGCATTTGCTTGGGGACTGCAGAACCTATTGGTGGCATGAGGGCAGGAGGAGGGAGTGGGGCAGATGCCCACTGAGTCTCAGCTCCGGCCCCTCCTCACCCTCTCTCTGCTCAGGTCCTTCAGCAGCATGTCGGACATCACAGGTAAGGGCCCTCGGGCACTCCGTGGGGAGGGCTCACCGGAGGGGTAGCTTTTTAGCTCACCTGAGCCCAGTGCTGCCTGCGCTGCCCTTGGCCTGTGTCTCCCTCCCTGAGGTCCCACTGTTTCCTGGCCAGGCAGGAAGGCTCTGCTCAGAGAGCCTCTGGGGGAGTTGGTTCACCCTGAGCCCAGGTCTGGTCCTGGCTGTGCTGTGCTGGGCTCCTCCTCAGTTCTGGCCCACTCTTCACCCTCTCCAGAAAACTGAGGGGTCATCCTGGCGGGCACCGGCCCAGCTCTGAAGCCAGTGGGTCCAGTGTGTTCCTGGGTCCTCAAACCTGCCAAGGCCCCAGGCCTCTGGGCCCTGGGCCATCCCTGAGCCCTTCGCCCATTTCTCAGTCCCTCAGTCCAGCACCTCTGAACCTCACTGTTCCTCCCCAGGGAGTGTGACGCTTAAGCCCTGGTCCCCCGGCCTCTCGTCGTCCTCGTCTTCCGACAGTGTGTGGCCTTTGGGAAAGCCGGACAGCCTCCTGGCCAGAGGCTGCGGCCTGGATCTCAACAGGTACGGAAGCTGCCTGGGGTAGGTGGAGGTAGGGGCTCTGGGTCTCAGGTTCCTGGAGTAGGGTGAGCAGGGGCGAGGTGCGAGGGAGCAGCAGCTAAGCCTTTGCTTTAGACAACTATCAGAATAGTAAGGTTTCAGACACAGGCTGACCGTGCGTTCAAGCCCTGTCACCGCCGCTATCGTCTGGGACTGGTTGCTTCGCCTCTCTGGGCCTCAGTTTCTTCATCGGCTCAAGGTGGTAGTGATCTCTTCTGTGTGTTGGTGTTTTGAGGTCTAGGACTCATGTCAGTTGAGCACCCTGCAAAGACACCGACACTCCGTTTGCCCATCCTCCCCAGCTCTGAGCTCCTGTAGGACCGCGCCACCCAGGAAGGCTTCATGCTGTGGGTGGGGTGGGGCCACCAAGGGAGCGCCAGCCGCTGAGCTGGCCACAAACCTAGGACAGGAATCATGAAACACATTGGCTTAGAGTGGGCTGCAGGCAATGAACTCTGTTGGTCGATGAGTGGCCTCCCTGGTCAAGTTTGCAGGTGGACCTTGGGAGGGGTGATAGAGAAGGCCGGGCTGAGGATGTGGGTTTTGAACTCAACCATGGAGAGAGAGCAGGTAGGGAGGGCAGCTGGGTGACTGGAAGAGGGAGAGAACAGAGGATGTCTAGGGATGGATTTGGAGTTTGGCATTGACTGGAGCAAGGTCCGGGGTGGATGGAGGCCCAGCCACAGCAGGCTTTGTGAGTCAGGCTCGAAAAGCGTGGACTTTGGCTGGTGCACCCTGGGAAGCGTGTGAGGGTGTAGCTATTACTAAATGCAGGATAGTTGCTGGCTGCCTCACAGCATTCTTTGTCCCTGGAGGTAGGCATTATGTCCCTGTTTTACAGAGCTCTGTTTTACTGAGGCTTAGAGAGTTGAAGCGACTTGCTGGAGGTCACACAACTGGGAAGTACCCTGGCCAAGGTCTACAATGACCTGATCAGACTTGGGTTTTGGAAAGTGTGTAGGAAGCACTGATGTCAGAGCTGGAATGTGGGGATGCTGGATACAGAGGACAGGTCGCACAAGAAATCAGTGCAGAGCAGGACCAGGGGCCTCCCGCCTTCTGGAAGCCGCTTGGCCAGGCTTGTGTGCAGGGCCCTGCCCCCACCCTCACCCCCGGCAGCCGGCCCAGTGTGACATTGTTTCTCCCTGTGCAGGACGTGCTTCTGGGGGAAGGGGTGGAGGTGCCTCCCTTCCTGCCTGCCTCGGCCCTTCCTCCCTCCAGCTCAGACCTGCAGCGAGGGTCTTGGCTGCTGTCCAGGGGGCGCCGGGAGCAGGAGCCATGTGATCATCGGGCCACCTCTGCTGCCCACGCTGTTCCTGGGGAGGAGTGAGATGGGGGAAGAACACACATTGGGGTGGAGGGAGGGGTGGTGGGCAGAGAGAGAAAGAGGTGGATGGACAGCAGAGAGGGAGATGAGGTGCCAGTGCGTGTGTCCTGGGGCAATGTGACAGCCCAGTGGGGGAAAACAGACTTTGTTAGCCAGCTGAAATCCCAGATCTGCCGCCTGCTACTGTGGGATCTTGAGCACGTCACTTAATTTCCCTGTGCCTCTGTTTCCTGCTCTGTAGAATGGGGTCACAATAGTGCCTGTCCTCTCGGATCACGGGTGGACTGGGGGGCGCATTTCCAGGGTTCCTACCGTGGGGCTTGGAACTGTGCCTGGCTCCTAGTGCGTGGTAATGTTAGCTGTTAGCTCACACTATTGTTGACCTTGTTGCTTAATTCTCAGAGTAGCCTGCAAGGCTGACATTTTTAGCCCCGTTATACAGATAAGGAAAATGAGGCTCAGTGTCAGGAATTTGTCCCAAGGCCATTTGGTGGTGGAATTGGATACTCCACAGGACCTTCCTTCCATCTATACTTTTAATCTTAGGACATGCTGGATATTTTTAGCCCATCTCCCCTGTCCCTCCGGGCGCCTTGTGCCTCAGGGCAGGGCGGAGGAGATGTGCAGTGGGTGTGCTGGGGCAGGCCGAAGGATGGATGGACAGATAGACAAGCTGGGAGACAGTGAGGAAGAACTGAGAGTGCAAGTGAGGCGCCGAGCCAGGCGGGGCGGGTGGGGAGAGCACCAGGTGCTGTGGCCCCTGCCAGGGACCGCCCCTGCCTGCGTTTGCTCACAGACTCAGGAACTTGGGCACCTTCCGTCCTTGCACAGGGGTGTGAACAGGTCATGGCCTGACTCCACCAGCTGTGCAACGCTTGTCCAGTTATAACTTCCCCGTGCCTCAGTTTCACTCTTGTCTAACATGAGGGGAATAATAGATGTCTCCCGTAGGGTTGTTGGGAGGATTAAATGAGGTAATCTGTGTGGCTTGCTCACATCTTGGATTTTCAGGTCCCTGATTTAGAACAAAGCAGTTATGTACACTGCTTGGAGATCTTCCCACAGTGTCCTGGAGCGGGGGTGGTGGGGACACTCACTGAGACCACTTGGGTCATCAGTGCTTAGAGTTGACAGAGTGAAGGACTGGTCCCGTTCCCCCCTGTTTTCCTGTGACCCGACACTGGGGGAAGGGGGCTAGGAGCCCTCACCTGGGGGACAGGGAATCCCATCCTTTGCATTGCCCGCAGGCAGGGTTGGGGGGTCAGTCAGACTGTGTTGCTGGAGACCCAGGAGTCCCAGGAGGTTGGAGCAGGCAGCCCTGTCCCCACCATGTTTCTCTCTCTGCCCACATCTTCCTGCTTGTCTGCCGAGAGGGACTTGAACGGAACCCTGCCCCCAGTAAGCCCCCAGGTGGACTCTGAAAAGTGCTGAGAGTTGGTAGCCCCAGGCTGTGGGGGCTCAGGGAAGTCACTTGGGGGATGTGGGCAAGTGCTCCTGAAGGAGGGGACGCTTTAGCTGGGTCTTCAGGAAGCAGCAGGAGTTGGCAAGAGGAGCCCGAAAGCCTGGGGTGGAGAGCCAAGTGCTGGAATTGCAGGGGGTGGGGGAGGGGCGTGCCCAGGCAGAGGGCGGCGGGCACGGGCGCTGGCTGCTGGCTGCTGGCTGGGTCTTGCTCTAGGGCAGCGGTTCTCAACCTTTCATAGGGGTCGCCTAAGACCATCGGAAAACACATATTTTCCGATGGTCTTAGGAACCGAGACACCGCTCCTCTATCCGTCTCCAGGCCCACAAATGAGTACCCGGCGACCCCTGTGAAAGGGTCGGTCAACCCCCAAAGGGGTCGCGACCCCCAGGTTGAGAACCGCTGCTCTAGGGAATCTGTGATGGGGTGTCAACTATGGATTTGAAACAGGTGGGGAAGCTGCGGGCCACACGGGGGTGACTTGTCCTGAATCACACCTGATAACAGTGAATATCTGATTTTCACTGAGCACTTAATTCTTGCCGGGTGCTGTTCTAAGAGCATCCCCTGTTTAACTCACTGAATTAAACAAGAAATAGGTAGACGCAGATGGGGCTGCTGAGGACTGGAGGTCAAACAGCCAGGCCGTCTGGCCCCAGAGCTCCTGCTGGCACCCTCCACGCCACATTTCTCAAACTCTTCTGTCTGCAGCCCACAGTGAGAAAAACCCTGCACACATACCTGAAATAAAAGGGTCATGAGGCAGGAGTTGGATTTACTTGAAGGGAGACAGCTTGCATTTTCTATTCCATTCTATTAAACAACAGAATTTCACTTCCCACTTAGGAACAGGCCTGCAGTGGGAAGGCCCCCGGAGTCCTCGGGGTTCCCCCTCTACCTGTATTATCTGTATGTTTGTCTGACCTTCACACCCACCGTGGGAGATGGGGCCACTACTGTCCTTGCTTTATAGATGTGGTGACTGGGAATCAAGCAGCCAGCTCACGCACTCGCATCTAGGGCACAGTGAACGCTGGGGTTTGACGTTGGACTGTGTGGCTCCAGCCAGAAGGCCATTGGGCAGCGTAGCCTGGCCTCAGGCCTCCCAGCTCTGTCCAGGCCTTTTCATGCCACCTCGATAACACCCAGGAGAGTCCCAGGGCGGAAGGAGCCTGTGAAGGCAGCGCCCATGTCCATCCCCTGCCCCTTGGGCCTGGCTGAGGGTGTGGAAGCCAAGACAGGCTCTCTGGGGCCAAAGTGACCCCCTCTGCCTGGGTGCTGATTGGGTTAAGGTCCTTGCAGCCTTGCCCACCCCAGGCTGGCAGCAGGGCAGTGTGGCTGGCTGTGAGTACTGCAGCTGTCAGGGTGGGTGGGGAGGTGGGTGGGTACCTGGACTCTGCCTGGGCCACCTCTTCATCTGGGGCATACCTGCTGACCATGGCTTCTCCCCTTCCCAGTACCAGGGCCAGGAGGCCATGGAGGAGACTTCCGGTTGGTTGTCTCTGAGCCTGGCCATAGGGCCTCACCAGTTCTCATCCAGGGACAGGCAGAGCCCTGCCATGATGAGGATCTTGGTGACTCTTGGTCTTAACCATCAGTGGCTCCCACTGACCATGAGAGGTAGGCCAGATGCTGTGCCCCCCCCCCCCCCCCCCGCCCGCAGGCTGGCTACAGCTTGCTTTTTCTGGGAGCTGTTTCTCATGATGTTAAATTAGTTTAAATTAGAGCCCAGAGCTTAGCATGGTGTCTGGCACATGGGAAGCACGCAGTAAGTGTTGGCTGTTATTATTGTCAGTAAATTCTTCCACACGTTCTGTCTTCTGTCCTCTCCTCCTCCAGCTCCTGCCCGCCCTGCAGCCTGGAACATCCTCTCCTCTCTGTCTATCACTGAAGGGCTTCTGTCTTCACTGTGGTGTAGCCCCGCTGCTCCTTCCTCTGGGAAGCCACTCCCCCTTGCGCGCCCGCTGCCGGCTGTGACCATCTCTGATCTGTGTTGTGTTCTAGACTGTGAGCGTAACGAGCTTTTATTAGTCATCTACTATGTGCCGGATACTGTGTTTGGTGCTAGGGACCCAGAGCTGCACACGACAGCAGGCTGGCTCTGAGGGTGTTCTTTCTGATGGAGGAAACAAAAGGCAACATGCAAGGTGCAGATGGTGTGCTTCTGCAGGCAGGACCCTCTGTGCTGGGGTCTGGGAGAGAGAGGTCGCTTTTGACCTGAGCCCTGTAGGATGAGCAGAATTTGCCAGGAAGAGAAGAGGGGGAAGGCAATGGTGCAATGGGCTGGGGGTGGGAGCGTCATGGCATACTTGCGGAATCGCTGTGGTTTTCCAAGAATGTTGATCTGAATCAAAATACTGACTGAACTCTAACTCACATCCCCTTCTGTCTTCTCAGGTCTCTGGCCATCCAGGTGTCTGGCCGGAGTCCCCCTGGAGGACCTGAGCCCCAGGACAGAGGCCTTGATGGCCTGCCATTCCTTGGGGACAGCTGGTCTGGGGCTGCGATTCGGGGAGTGTTCTCTGGGCCGGGGTCTGCCAGGGTGGAACCAAGAGAGGTGAGGCCCCCCCTACCCCAGCTCTGGACTGGGGGTGGAGTTAGTGGCTTAGCCCGGGCTGAATGCCTTCTGATTGGTGGATATAGGTCACTGGGTGGAGTTTCTGGGGAATGGCCAGAAGGGGGCTCAGGGATTAGCTGCTGGTTGCACTGCCTATGCCAGCATGAAATGAAATCTGATAGGGCAGGGAATGGGAGGTGGGCAGACAGACTACCTTGACAGGTCTTGGCTTTTTTTTTTTTAATTCGGGAATTGGGGGATGGGAACAGACAAGTTGCTGTCGTTTTGTTCTTCAGTCTAGTTGTGGAGGATGTTGTTTCACTGGCCCAAGTTGACACCATCCTTGCGCTCTTCCCAGGCGAGGCAGATCAGTTGCTGGCTTTTGGACGGCCGCTCACTGCGGCTGCTGGCCGCTCACGCTGGCTGCTGGCTACACACAGTAGCCCATGGCAACCCACTGACACAGGGGCTGCAGCCTGTGCCATCGCTGGCGACCCACCGCAGCCCAGCTCCAGGTCGAGCTGTTGTTCAGCATCTTAGCTGTGGAGGGCAGTGTCACTGACCCTCATATGTGGGATCCGAACCGGGGCCCTCTGGCGTCCCAAGCCAGTTCTTAACCATCGCGCCACTCGGCCGGCCCAGGTCTTGGCTTTTAAATATGGGAAGCATCTGGACGAACCTGCTGGGTGGGGAGTCCTGTTGATGGGAGCAGGGTCTGACTGCCCACTGAGTTGGAGCCATCTGAATTATGAGACATGGCCAGGCCCACACTCCGTCTTCCTCCAGGGCCAGGGCGGTCCAGCCCGTGGAAGCTCACTTCTTTCCCTCCATGCTTTGGTTTTCTCCCAGCCAAGGACAGAGGCTGCTGGGCTGGAGGGGGCAGGCCTGGGAAGTGAGGCCCAGCAGAGAACCTTGCCCTGGAGCCAGGCGTCCACACTCCCCTTCCTGATGGACTCCAAGGGTAAGTCTGGCCTGGGGGACTCACCAGTTCTAGAAGGTCAGAGCTGAGGGCCCAAGAGAGGGCTGATTTAGCCCAGGGTGGAGGTGGGCCAACAGGCCTGAGAGGGAGATGCTGTTCCGCCTCTTACCTCTTGGCAGTGCCCCTCCCTCCCATGTCACTGCCTCATGGTGGTTGTGTTTTGTGCCCTCCCTCTGTCCTCAGTAAGCAGCTGATAGTGAGAGGAGCACTGGACAGGAGTCCAGACATCTGGGTTCAAGTCCTGGTTCTGTCCCCAGTGGGCTTGGTGGCCTTGGGCAAGACCCGTTGTCTCTGGGCCTTGGACTCCCTTCTTTTTGTTTTTTTATTAAAAAAAAATTTTATTTTTTAAAGATTTTTATTAAAATATAGCTAACACAATATTATATTAGTTTCAGGTATATCGGACTGCCACTTTAAGAAGGGGAAGGCGGGGTCCTGGTGGCTCAGGCTTTGAGAGGCTGATTCCTGACTTCATCCTTCTCTTGTCCTCCCTGTTGCCCCATGCCCTGTCCGTGCCCAGCTTGCCAGTCCTTCCATGAGGCCCTGGATGCCTGGGGGAAGGGGCTCGGCCCCGAGCCCTTCTACATTCGAGCCAACCTCACTTTGCCTGAACGGGCAGACCCCCATGCCCTGTGTGTGAAGGCCCAAGAGATCCTGCGGCTGGTGGACCCGATGTACAAGCGGCGGCAGGAATGGTTCTGCACACGGGTTGACCCCCTCACGCTGCGGGACCTGGACCGTGGCACAGTGCCCAATTATAAGAAGTGAGGCAGAGCCAGGAACTTGGGGAGAGGGTCGCACTGGGAGCTGGGACCAGGATGGGGGCCTCTTCATCCCTCTGCAATCCGTCACCATCCTGTGGGGCAGGATGGGGGGCTAGATGGGAGGAGGTGTTTCCCTACAAACCGATGACACATCCCCTTCTCCTCAGTGCTCAGCAGCTCCTGGAAGTTCAGGAGAAATGTCTGCCTTCCAGCCGGCATCGAGGACCCCGCAGTAATGTAAGTAGGGCTGGGTCAGCTGGGAGGGCTGCTAAGATTGGGGTCCAAAAGAGAGAGGCCAGGCTTCAGTCTCTGGCAGCCTGGGGGAGGAAGAGGAGGGAGGCCCCCCACCTTGCTCCTTCACTTGGGCTTGGTTGATCATCTATTATGTGCCAGCAAATAGAAGAACAACAGGGCTCACGTCCGGGGTAGTCGTGAAAGTAAATGAGATAGAGTGTGCCTGGTGTTCAGGAGCCTACCTGGCACATGGTGAGCACTTGTCAAAATAACGGTCACATCCCTTTTCCAGTCCCTGGATAAGGGCTGGGCTGGGTGAGCCTCCCCCTGTACGCTGGGCAGCATGAGGCTCAGAGGCACTAGACAGGGGGTTGAGAGCGTGGGCTCTGGAGCCAGACTGCCTGGGTTTGAATGCCAGCTCTGCCACTTATCAGCTGTGCGACCTTGGACAACGACCTGACGTCCCCTGGAGGCTCTGTGTTCTCATCTGTAAAATGGGGACTGACCCTGCCTGCTTGGTGTGCCGCCCCCGCATGGAAGGCTGCGATGGTCCGTGCACACCTGGGACCTAGTTAGTTTGTTTCTCACATTGGAGGCATTTGATACATGTCAGCTATTGGCCTAATTAATGCTGTCGTTATTGGTTTCATTAATCTCCCTCCCCAAGGCCACATTGCTAATTCACTGGAAGAGATCCCAAAGTTTGTCTTTTCTGTGACATTAGGTTCCTCTGGTCTCTGGGCCTCGGTTTGCCCATCTAGAAAGTGGGGGTGGGGGTGGGTAGACCTAGGGCTCCTCCAGTTCTCACTGGCTCGACAGGCTTGCTTCCCTGAGCCCATAGTGATGGTCGTCCTGTCCTGCCTGGGGGACTGTGCTGGGCCAGGTGGGGGCAGGAGAAGTCCTGGTGGGGAGGCGCTGTTCCGTGGGGTCTGGACAGGAGTGGCACAGGGTCCCCTCTGCCGGGCGTCACATTTATTCTCCTCCCTCCCTGAGGTTGGACTGCAGCTGAGCTCACAGGTGCACCTCTTTCCCTCTGCCCCCTCCAGCTGAAGAAGCGAGCGCTGGACCAGCTGCGGCTGGTGAAGCCCAAGAATGTGGGGAGCCCTGCAGGGGACCCCCAGGAGCAGCTGCTGTTGGAGCCTTGCACAGGTGAGTGCACAGGTGTGAAGGTGCAGCCTGGGCTGCCCATGGAGTCCAGGAGTGTGCACCTCTGGGTGTCTCTGGGTGTCTGAGAGACAATACTCCCCCTGGTGGGAGATGGGCCGACAAGGTTGAGGGAGCCGGTCGGTGGGGGTAGGTGCATGTTTCTGAGTGTGTCTGTGAGTCTGTATGAGTGTGGGACATGCATGAGCAAGGGCTTGTTCTTGCCTGGCAGAGCATGTGTAGCTGTGCTTCTCACATGTGTGTGGTGGCAGGTGCCATGAGGACCCCAGAGTGGGTTCCTGGAGGCAGTGAGGTGAGACTTTGGGCCAGAGGAGGGATGGAGAAGGGGCTGGGGGAGCTTAGATGAGGGAGTAGCAATTCTGAGAGGCAAGGAGGAGAGGGTGGTGAGGGAAGACTTCCTGGAAGGGAGCTTTCAAGGACGAAGTTTGTTCCAGGCAGAAAGCACAGCTTGTGAAAATGCACAGAGGCGTAGCTGTGCCTGGTGTGTTTGGAGGACGCTGAGTATAGCAAGTGGGTATCAAGCACCAGCTCTGTCATGCTTTGTGCTTGGTCCAGAGGACACAGTGGTCCCCCAACTCCTTTGGAGCTTACCGCCTATTGAGGATGAGGGAAGGCAGATGCCTGTCACCCATGGACATAGTAATTGCAAAGTGTGACACTTGGGCTGGAGGCGAACTGGGTGCTCTGCACGTGTGGGAACTGGGGAAGGTGTGACCTGGGCTCTGAGGGGAGACTGAGGGTTAACTGGGCCAAGAGGTGCCAGGGTGGGGCTGCAGCCTCCCCAGGTCAGGAGAAGGCCCGGTGATCAGAGGCAGCTGAAGGGAGGTTTGTGTGGCAGGAGTAGAGTCTGTGATGCGGCATGTGACTTGCTGCCTCCCCAGGCCCTGGCAGGGCTGGGTCACCCGCCTGGAGGATGTGGTCTTTCTCCTGAGACTCGTGGGAAGTTACTGGCTCATTGAAAGCAGGGGCGTTACAGGATCTCACTTTAGTTTTAAAACTTCCCTCTGGCTGCTAAGTGGAGAATGGCCTGTAGGGGGCGAGAGTGAGGTAGAGGATCAAGGGAGGAGCCTATTGCAATAGTCCCAGCGAGGAAGGGGGCAGGGCAGCGTGTGTGTGTGTGTGTGTGTGTGTGTGTGTGTGTGTGCGCGCGCGCGCGCACAGCAGAACTTAGGAAGGGAAAAAAGATGGGGGGCTTGAGAGGAGGTGATGGGGTTTTGAGAATGGAGGGGGTGGCCACACCTAGGAAGGAGGAGCTGGGGCCCTGCCTGTACCCTCATCTCTTCTGCACCTCCCTCCGCCCCCTCCCCGCCCACCCCAGAGCCAGAGCGGAGCCTCAAACCCTACAGTCTGGTGCAGCCTCTGCTGGTGCCCTCCCTGCGGCCTGTGGTGCTCTTGCCCGAGTGCCTGGCATCCCGGCTTATCCGCAACCTGCTGGACCTGCCCAACTCCCGGCTGGACTTCCAAGTGTGCCCAGCGGGTGAGCCTTTATGTGGAGAGAGGGGAGGACAGAGTGGCACTCTGGGGCAGCCCTTCATTTCCGCCTCTCCTCGCTCTGCAGAAAGCCTGTCTGGGGAGGAACAGTGCACACCCTCAGCGCCTGGAGCCCCCAAGGCCCGGCCCGCCACCCCTGGGCTGGGCAGCAGGATCCGAGCCATCCAGGAGTCTGTTGGGAAGGTAGGTGCTGGGGTGCGGGCTGCCTTCTGGGCCCAAGAGCCAGAGTGCGAGTGGAGGCGTGTGCTGCTCCCTTGCAGAGTGACTCTGCGCAAGTCCCTCCCCTTCTGTGGGCCTGTTTGCTCACCTGTGAGTGAACGGGCTAGGGCAGTCGACCTTATGTGGGTCACCCTTGAGGTGTTGGGCTGATACATCTCACCTATTGGCCCTATTTGCCTCCAACTCGCCCCTACCCTGGGAGCTGGCTTGGGTGGGGGGTGGGTTAGCTCCATCCTACAGATGGGGAGGCTGAGGTCCAGAGGCGCGAAGTGACTTATTTCCCCAGGTCTCCTGCCTTCCCTCCCCGTTCTTCCCTCATTGCCAAGGTCCCTTTGGGTGGGGACTGTGCTATGGGGCCCGGGGTGGGAGGCAGGGAGATTAGTGTCTCTGGGCCAGGAGTAAAATGTAGCTTGACTCCCCCGAGAAGAAGCACTGCCTGTTGGAGCTGGGTGCGAGGGGCGTGCGGGAACTGGTCCAGAATGAGATCTACCCCATTGTCATCCACGTGGAGGTGACCGAGAAGAATGTCCGGGAAGTCAGGTGAGGCGGGTGGGGGGATAGGCCGGACCTCAGAGCCACCTCCTCTCTGTGAATGTCACTCTCTCTTTGTCTCTGTCTCCTCCATCTTTCTTTGCCATGCCTCTTTTTGTTTTCCTCCATCTGTTCGTCCTCTCTGATTCTCCATATCTTTGTCTTTCTCTCCATCTTTTGTCTGTCTCTGTCCGGCACGCTGCCCACTGCCCACTGCCCACTCTCCACTCCTCTCTCGGCAGGTGTCTGCTGGGCCGGCCGGGCTGGCGGGACTCGGAGCTGCTGCGCCAGTGCCGCGGCTCGGAGCAGGTGCTCTGGGGGCTGCCCTGCTCCTGGGTGCAGGTGCCCGCTCACACGTGGGGCCACTCGGAGGAGCTGGCTAAGATGGTGCGTGGCCGCATCCTGCAGGAGCAGGCCCGTCTCGTGTGGGTGGAGCGTGGCAGTGGCCGAGGCAGCAGCAGCAGCAGCAGCGAGGCCTGAGGGGCCTGTTCTGATGCCTGCGGCTTCCTCACACACTTCAGAAGCCACCAGTGGGGACCCTGGTGTCTGCAGTGGAGAGGGGTCGTCCCTGTGCAGAGCCTTCCCAGACCCTCAGGCAGATCTTCCACCCGCCCCGTACATGGCTGCTGTTCTAGGCCTTCCCGTGTGCCCCCCATGTCTCCATGTCCCCACTCGTGGGTCTGTGTACCTCCGTCATTGCTCGCCCCAGAGCATCTGAGTTCTCACTCGTGTGTATAGATTTGCACCCAAGTTCTCACGGGGCAGGCTCCTGTCTGTCCCTACACCCTGGGCACACGAGGTCTCCTAGACTCTCAGCCTGTTCTACTCACAGGAGCCTCGAGCCAGCCCCTCGTGAGTCCCATCCGTCCGACTCACATTTCCTGTGTATACCTCCTCCCCTCGTGGGCATCGCGGCCGCCCTGGCCCACTGTCACCTGTGCCCCTGTGTCTTCTAGTCATACACGTGTTTGTGGTTCTCTCCTGTGTAAATGTCATGCCCCCCACCCTCGTGACACCTGGGCACTAGCACGCGTGTGCCCGGTGAGCACACCTCGGACCATGTTCTCACAGCACCCGTTCCCTGCCCCCTCCCGGAGGGCCAGGTGGGGAGGGGGCAGGCTGCTCCACCAACCGGAATGTACCGCCCGTGCATTTTTAATGGGCCTTTTTTCACTCAGAAGCTGCACATATGGAACATTAAACAGTTTGTCATAGAAGTTGTTGGCTTTTTGCTTGCTTGTATCCCTGGTCTGGGGCTCCCCTCTCTCCTCTCTGCACCGTCCCCACCCCCAGCTCAGGCTGATACCACCTTTCAGGTCCCCGCTTGCCCATGGGGAGGGTCAGATTTCGCTCCTGACTCATCCCAGAGCCGCCCGCCATCTGTGCTGGCATCACCTTACCTGCCCCCGAATGACCGGAGGAGGGCCCCACAGATGGGCCACCCCCAGGCCCAGCCCTGCCTGTGTCTGATCATCAAAGGATTGTCCCCTGGTGCGGGGATACTGAGGCCAGCAGGGTTTGGTCTTAGGTTTAAGGGGCCAGGCTGCTGAGTCCAGGAGACCAAGAGCAAACCTTCAGTGTGCAAACAGGTCCCTGAGACTGCTCCTCCAGAGAGAGGACGGTTACCTCCAGTGGGAGAAATCTAGGCAGACTTACTGGAGGAGGTGCCATGAGTTTGGGATTTGGGGTCCTTTCTTCAAGAAGCATTTCTTGGACCTACATGTTTATGTGCTGTCCTAAGTCCTCTTATGACTGTCCTCGGTAACAGTAATGAACTTGGGCAGGCCCCTGAGAGGTTTTGGGGAAGTGGGTTACTAGGTGGAGGAAACCTCAAGAGCAAAGGCTCAGAGGCAGAACATGGTTTGAGTTTGACCACTGAGAAGTGGTAAGAATAAGGCTGGGAAGTCCAGGGGTGGGGGCTGCCTGAATCATAGTGTTCTTTGAGGTCTGGCTCAGATACCATCTCCACGAAGCCTGCTTGATTCTCTCAGCCCTTGGCACTTCTCGGCCATGCCATGCCCTGTGTTGTGGCAGGATGGTGGGTTTCTGTGGATGGCTGTGGGCTGGTCGGGTGAGGAGACTGGATCACGCTCATTTGGGTAAATGAACTCCCCTCCTTGCTGTGTGCCTGGCCCAGTCTAAGGACCTGCGTCTAGGTGAAGATGTGGGAAACTAGTGGCTCAGCTGCTTTTGTCTGGTCCTATGTTAGGGGATCTTTCCATGGGGTGAAGGAACCCACTAATCCTTCAATTCTCACCGAGTCTTATTTTCGTCCACATTTTACAAATGATGAAAGTAAAGCTCAGAGAGGTAAAGTAACTTACCAAGAGTCATGCAGCGGGTGAGTGGCCCAATCAGGATTTCAACCCTGGTCTGTGTGGCGTGAAGCCTGGGCTCATCTCTTGGTTCTGCGGTTCTGAGAAGATGGGCGGTGAAGGGGCGTGGCATGGGGCTGGCCCATCGCAGGGTGATGCAAAAGGCTTAGTTTTTCTTCTCCCTCCACAGTCCTCATGCAGGGTTGGGCCACAGCAGGCTCAGTTCAATCCACCAGCCACCTGTTACTTTCTTGTGTTTAACCAATATTTATTGAGCGCCTACTATTTACCAGGCACCATTCTAGGCACTGGGGAATTCAGTGAATAAAAAGAAGAAAAAAATCCCTGTCCTGATAGTCTCCTGAGGAAGACAGATGAGAAGTAAAATTTACAGGATGCTGGAAGATGAAAAGTGCTATGGAGAGAACACAGAAGAAAAGGGGGCCTGGGAAGGACAAGCTTGGGGGGCTGGGAACTAGGGGATGTGGAGAAGGGATTGCAATTTAAATAAAGTGGTCTGGGAAGGCCTCATGGAGAAGATGACATTTGTGTAAAGACCTAAGGGAGTGAGATGGGTGGCTCTCTAGGGAGAGGTCCAGGCAAGAACAGCATGTGCAAAGGTCCTGAGGTGGGTGAGTACCTGGACTAGCCAGAAGCGGGTCTGGAGTGGAGGGAGCAAGGCAAAAGTAGTAGGAGGTGGGATTGGAGGTAATGAGGGACCAGCTTACACAGGGCCTGTAGGCTGGTCTGTGATCTTTGGCCATTGTTGAAAACGGGAGATGGGAGCCAGTGCAGAGTTCTAGTAGAGGAAGGACGAAGTGTGAGTGACCTTGTGCAAAACTGGATGGACGTGGTGGCTGGAGAAGGCCCTCTGTCCATTGTCCTGGCTGGGAGAGAGGCAGCAATAAAGACTGCTGAGTGAGGTGGGGTACTGTGGACCACAGCAGGACAGGCACCCTTAAGGGGACTCCTGTGGACCAGAGACCTGGATTCCACATGGCTCTGTGGCTGAACTGCTGGCTCATTTTGGATCATTCTGTGCCTTATGTGCTCAGCTCTAAACTTGGAGTAACAATCCTAATGCTGTTGTGAAGACCAAAGGAAGTGAGCAAACTACTGTGGGAGTTCCAGAAGTTGAGGGGGTGGGTGGCATCAGAGAAGGCTTCCTGGAGGAGGGAACCCTTGAGCCGAGCCTTAAAGTCCAAATAGAATTAAGCCTGGTGGAGGGCATATGGATGAGGATGGCAGGGGATGGGGGAAAGCATCCAGGAGAGGAATAGTGTGAGCAAAAGAAAGTTGGGAGGGGGGCCGGCCGAGTGGCTCAGTTGGTTAAGAGCTCACTCAAGAGTTTGAGCTCTGAGCAACAGCGGTTCGAGTCCAGCCCGAGCTGAGCAGCCGCTGAGCTGCCAACAGGTAGCAGGATGGCTCAGCTAAAAAAAAAAAAGTTGGGAGGCTGGATACCAGGACACCCATAAAATAATGTGTGTTGAATGAGCTAAGCTGAGAGTCTCTGGGGCGTGGGAAGGCTGGAGGGCCCCCTTCCTTCCATCCAGGCATGGAAGGTTTGTTGTTGCCCCCACCCCCACTGCAGCTGCTGGCAGGGACAGGGCTGTCTCTTCAGCTGCCTTTCAGCCACCTCTGGGGCGCCTCTGGGCTGGCCCCGCCCCTTGGGCTGCGATGGAGGCAAGGGCGGGGCCAGGCGCCCAGAGCCAGCGGCGGGAGGGCTGCCAGAGCAGGTGGAGGGCTGGTGGCGGAGGGGCTGCCATGGCCTGGCCTCTGGGGCCAGAGCACCCACTCTCACCTCTCCCCTCCTTGCCTGCCCGGGATGCCTGCCAGACTTCAATCTTTGCTGAGGCCCCCGCCTGACCAGCCTCCCCTCCACATCCAGTTGGGATTTGGGGGCTGAGCTGTTTGGGGTCCCAGGGCCAATGCAGTGCCGGCTCCTCCGGGGCCTGGCCGGAGCCCTCCTCACCCTTCTATGCATGGGGCTCCTCTCTCTTCGGTACCACTTGAGGCTGTCTCCGAAGGGCGTGCGGGAGACCCCCGGGCTGAGCCCACCAAGCCCGTGGCTTCCTGAGCTGCAGCTAAAGGATGTCTTCATCGCAGTCAAGACGACCCGGACCTTCCACCGCTCCCGCCTGGAGCTGCTGCTCGACACGTGGGTCTCCAGGACCAGGGAACAGGTGACAAGCTGGCAACTGTGGGCCCCAGGAATGGCCCCTGGCCTGAGGGATTCATGGAGGCCTTTCTACTGCTGCCGACCCACCTGCTCCACTCCCCCTTCCTCCCAGGATTGGGGGGCTTCCCCGGTCCTGGCTGTGCCCCTTGCTGGCCCTGGAGCTCACTGCTCGTCAGGCCCACTGCTCTTTTTCAGGGGCCAGGCTGGGCTTCTGCCCTAGGCTTCTGGGTCCCTCCTGAGGGTCCCTCTATTCCCTGGCTTCACTCCTATCCACCCTGACTCAGCCTGGCATCGGGGCAATGGTGAGTGTTGGGCAACTGGGGCAGAAGCTTCAGAGGTCCTGGCTGACATGTGCCCAGGCCAGGCTGCCTCCAGTCCAGGCCCTGGGCGACGTCCTTTTGCCCTGGCTGTGAAAACGGGCTGAGCTGCTGAGGAGGGGACCGTCTAGGTGGGGCTTGTTAGGGAAATGGATGGAGTGGGGGCATCCTTTCAGAATTCCTGGCGGCCCCTTCCCCCATGCCTCTGGTGCCCAGGGTGTGCCAAGGGTAGCTGCACCTCATCTCCTGTGCTCATTTCCTGTGGGGCTGTTTCCGAGGGAGGGAGGGCGGGTATGTGCTGTGATGGTGGTGGCTGAGGCAGTGGTGGGCAGGAGGTTGGGGTCGGGGTCCGCCCAGCAAGTGGGACTGTGTGTGTGCATGCGCACTCACATGCATGGAGCCAGCGTGTGTGTGTGTTAGACATGCTATGACGAGAGGCATGTGGGTGACAGGGGCTCATGGCTTATGTTTTTCCTTGGAGGCAGCTCTGACAGGCTGAGTCCCTTCTGGCTCTTCTGTTCTCCACACCCAGTGTGCTCCTCAAGCAAAATCAGTGATTTGGGGGTGTTGGGAACCATATCTGGGGGAGATGGAGGGACACACACACACACACACACACACGCACGCACGCATGCCCTGTCCCACTTTGGTGGCTGGCTCAGTGGGAGGAAGTGACTGAGCCTTCAGGAGGGGTTGGGGACTCCTGAAAGACCAAGGAAGTGGGGAGCAGATGCCTGGAAGAGGCCAGGGCACCCTGGGGAGAGGGCACCTCCCTCCACACCCCGATTCCCTGACGTCCTAGCACCCTGGATTAACGCTTTCCTTGTTGGGCTTCCAGCATTCCAGGCTCTTCCCAGGCCCCGCCCCTCCCCCACCCCCGCCCCAGCTTTTCATCTTGGGGAGCCTCTGGTTCTACTCAGGGAAACTGGCCCTCCCCACAGACCTTCCTGTTTATGGTGGTGTGTCTGTGTGTACCCGGAAGTGTGGCCTCGTGTGGTCTGAGGCCCTTTCCTGTCTTGGCTTGATCACCAAGGTGGTGCATTGCCCTGGATAAGGAAACTGAGGCCAGAGAGGAGGAGGTGCTTGCCAGCGTTATCCCCAAGTCCTGAGGGGGCAGAGCCCAGTGGGACCCAGCCCCTACCTCCTAGCTAGAGCCTTGCCTTCTCTACTGAGACCCGGGATATCAGAGCTGCTTGGTCACTGGGCTACAGGAAAGGGTCCTTGGGCCCTCAGCCTGGGTGGCTGGGCCTGGCAGGACCAGGCCAGCAAAGGAGAGGCACGTGGCCAAGCCCTCAATCCCAGATGCCAACCCAGCAGCCAGAGAGAGTACCTGCTCGCTGCTCAGCTCTAAGGGGCCACGTGTCAGATGCATCACTCTAACCCTCACAATAACCCTAAGTGGTGCCTATTGGGGTCCGTGAGTTTCCCAAGAATGTGCCACCCTGGCATGCAGATTATTTCAAGCTGAAAACAAAGCCCAACAAACTCAGGAAGAGGGTTTTTGTTTTGTTTTGTTTTAACTTCTGCTTTCCCTGCCTAAAGAATTCAGATAGAAAAACCTCCTTCAGGAAGGGAACCTTAGCATATTTGAATTAAGTGTGGCAGACAGGGAGGATTCAAGCAAAAATCTGTTGGCTCGATTCCCCTTTGTGCCCCATTATTTCTGGGCGGCCCTGCAAGAATTTGTTTACCAAATGTTTGCTCTTTCTCATCAACCTGTGACCTGCCTGCCTCCCCCTCCTTAGTCCAGAAACCTCACTGTCTTTAGAATTTTCATGCTTATGTGAATTCCCTAGGTGCAGTATTAAAATTTGATTTTTCTCCCGTTAATCTGCTGTATGTCATTTGAATGATTCGACCAGCCAGAAGAACTAAAGGGGTAAGGGGACAATTTCCCCAGCTGACACTATTGATATTCCCATCTCACAGGCGAGAAAATGGAGCCCAGTTAAACAGAGGAAGAGATGCATTCACTCAGCTGGACACCTGCCTTCATCCAGGTGTCCTCAGTGCATGAGGCAGAGTCCAGAGTTTTGTCCTTTAAGGCAGAGTTGAAAAAAGGAGGGATGCTCACACCGGAAGAGGAGGGGAGATAGGGAGACCCACTCTCACGCATCTGGGCCCCACTTAGTCTCCAGCCTTTAGCTCATATCTCTCTGTGACCTTGGCCAAGGCCCCCTCCCCCTTTTAGCCCTCCATTTCCCCATCTGCACAGGAGAGGAGAGTCTTGGAGTCTCTCTCAGCTCTGCCAACAGGAGTGGGCCTGAGCTGGTTAACTCCAGGGCTGGGAGCATACCCCAGCTGGTTAAGGGCAGCCTGGTGGCAGGTGGGCCTTTGTGGCAGAGGGCTGGGGCTCGTGTGCCGGCCTTTGTCCCAGGCAGAGGGGGTGGGTAGGGGAAGGCACGTTTTTTTGTGATCCAAGAGGAGCCTTTCTCTTCCCCAAAGCCCCCTTGGGGGCGGGGGTGGGGGTGGGAGGAGCAGTGACAGCCCCATATCGCCCCTCTTCTGTAGCAGATGGCCCCCGGCCACCCCCTCCCCTCACCGCAGCAGGCTGCCTGTCCCTTTGTTTTCCTGAAAGGTTTTAACCATTGTCAGGGCCCTCTCTTTAGACAAATCAACTGCAACCCTTGCTCAGAGGAAACTGCCCACCACTCTGTGCCAACTTCACGATTCCCATGTGCTCTGCCCAGCCAGCCCCCAGGCCCAGATGTGGGACCCCTCCTCTCCCCCTCCCCCCACTTATTCATTGGGGCTTTCTCACCCATCAACAAATAGTCCCTGGCCCATTTGGCTCATGCTCCAAACTGAGAGAGTTCCACTATCTGGTGGCTGTTGGGTGGCAAAAGTTTACCAGGGAGCAGGGGAGAAAGGCCTGACTTGTTTTACTGGCTCCCTCGGGGGCTGTGTTGAAAACAGACTTGGGGATGGGGGCAGGACAGAGCAGGGAGCCCAGGGAAAAGGTGACTGCAGCAAAGCAGGCCGGAGGTGATGAGGGTGGGCTGGGTCATGGGATGGCCGTGGAGGCTGGTGGGGAGAGCTTGCATCCAGGTAATTTATAGGTCGGGTGGACAGAATTTGCTGGCAGACTGGATGGGGCGGGGTGGGGTGTGTGTGAGAGAAAGAGAGGTGGCATGGTGACTCTGAGGTATGGGGTCCCAGCAATATGGGGAGACCAAGAGGAGTACAAACCTGGGGGAGCTCAGTACTCAGTCTTCAGGTGCAGAGTCTGAGGCGCTTGCTAGGCCCCCAGCGATGTTTTGGCTGTGTGGCGTTTGAGAGCAGGGGAGAGGGCCAAGGCCTCTGGGTTCAAATCCAAATTGCCAACTGCACAATCTTCATCCACTTAGCCTCAGTTTTGTCATCTGTGAAGGGGACAGGTTACAACACCTGCCTCGATGTTAGTGAGGTTGTCAGGGACCAGGAGGGTGACAGCTGCTGGAGGGCTGGCTGTCCCATCTGGCTGAGCTGGATTGGGCTGCGACGTAAGAGTTCTGAGTTGCGTCAGGGAGTTTGTGTGGCTGTGAAAGTTGTGAGTCTCTCAAAGTGGTGCTGTGTCCCAACTTGTGGGTCTTTTCACATAGAGTGTGTTTTCTGACAAAGCGTTTGGGGTTGTGTAGATGTGATTGTGGGGGAGCCAAGTGGGATTGTGTGTGTGTGTGTGGTTCTGCCGAGAGTGTGACTGGTAGGGTCCCTGTGAGTGCTGGTCTGTAAGGAGGCTGAAGGTAAGAGACTGATGGCTGACGTCCACTGTGAAGTTGTGTGTCTACTAAAGCTGGGTTGTGTGTGTATGTGTTGTATTGGAGGGGGGGGGGCGTAGCTGAGAAACTCATGTTGTCCTCAGAGAGTGCGTGACTGTGAAGAGGGGTTTGTATCTGTCACTGCAGGAGGACAGAGGTCTGCCGTGTGTGTATCCACCTGGACTGGGGGCTCATCGGGGGCTGGGCTGGGCTGTGGGCTGGCCTGACTCCCGTTTCTCCTTCCTAGACATTCATCTTTACTGACAGCCTGGATGAAGGCCTCCAGGAGAGACTGGGTAACTCTGCCTGGCCTGGGTGGGGTGGCTGTCCCCTGGCCTAGGAGTCCCCAAGACACAGGGCTGCCCATCCTTGGTACATGGGGATTTCCCTTTGCCCAGGAGGGGAGCAGGCTTTCCCTGCAAATAGATGTGCGTGTGGGGAGGGACTGGATGTCAGGGTCCCAGCCCAGCCTCCTGTCCATCAGCTGTGCGGTTCTGGGCAGGTCAGCCCTACCTGAGCTCAGGTTCCCCGTGTGTAAAGTGGGAGTGCGTGGACCACTCCGGGCCCTCTGAGGCCTTGCTCTGCATTGGCAAAGAGTGTGTAGAGCTGTGGGGAGGAGCTGGGCAGCAGCCCTTGACTAGACCTCTCTTCTCCAGGGCCCCACCTCGTGGTCACCAACTGCTCTGCGGAGCACAGCCACCCTGCCCTGTCCTGCAAGATGGCTGCTGAGTTTGATGCCTTTTTGGCCAGTGGGCTGAGGTGAGTGCACCTGGGTCTCTGGAGGCAGGTGTGACCTTTGCTTCAGGCCAGTTTATGAATGGGGTGTTGTGTCGAAAAAGTGAAGTTGTTGGAAAAGTGAAGTCATCTGGGTCCTGTGAATTCCATCGTGTAGGGCCTCCTGTGGTCTGTCTTTGGGCCGACCGTCTCGGTTCAAATCCTGCCATTCACTGGCTGTGTAACTTTGGGCAAGTGTCTTCACCTTTCTGAGTCTTAGTCCTCAACGGTTCAGTGGGCAGGCCCTCTTCAAGAACTTACACAAGATGCTGCCTGGTACAGAGCAGGTGCCTTCCATGTGAGCCAGCCCCACCTTGTAACAGTTTGTTGACTAATTAAGGGGGCACAGGGGGTGTCTGGCTGGCTGGCAGCCCTTGGGGACCCCCCTCCAAGCTCATTGTCCCCTTCCATCCCCACAGGTGGTTCTGCCATGTGGATGATGACAACTATGTAAACCCAAGGGCGCTGCTGAAGCTGCTGAAAGCCTTACCACAGACCCTCGATGTCTACATAGGCCGGCCCAGCCTGAACCGGCCCATCCACGCTTCTGAGCCGCAGCCCCACAACCGCACGGTCTGTTCCCCACCCCCTCCCCAACTCCTTGGTGCATCGGCCACTGGCCAGGGGCCTGCCTGGGCCAGGCCAGGCTTGGGGAGGGGCCATGTTGGGGGTGAGGTTGTGGAAGATTTGGGTGGGTTTTTTGGGTTTCAGATTGGGCCTCATCGCTGTGTGTTTGGGCTGGCGGCTTTGCCTCCGATCCTCGGCCTCCTCCTCTGTGAAATGGGGAGACTGAGGTGATGCGCGTTAGGCAGAGAGACTGTCACCTCGTGGGGCCTTGGTCATTGAGGAGCTCTGGCTTTTCAGGAGTCGAGGCTCCCTGACTTCACAGCAGAGCTCCTAGCCCCCTGGTGTCACCATGGAATTGTACAGGTTTTTAAAATGCTGCATACTGCTGGGCCTGGTGGTAAATCGCCACTGCCTCCAGCCCCGGACGCTCCCCTTCCCTAAGCACCACCCCGCCCTCCGAACTTCATTAACCAGCCACTCAAGAGTTGACACCTGGCACGACAGGGTCGGCAACACCAGCTTCATTCATCTTCAGACCTGGATGGACACTGATTAAGGTTGCCAGATTTAGAAAACCAACAAAAACTAGGATACCCATTAAATTTGGCTTTCAGATAAACAGAAGAATTTTTTAATATAAGTATGTTGCATGGTTTCCCCCGTCCCCAGGACGCCACCAGGCTTTCGGTGCTGGAGAGGCCCAGGCCTCTAGGGCTTCCTTGGCCCCAGGAAAAAGGCAAGTCAGCGGGTCCCTTCTCTAGAGACAGTGTCTGCAGCAGGAGCTGGTCCTGCTGTGGGGCTGTCTCCCTCCCTAGGTCACCATCTGCTTCATTAGGGAAACCAAGAGCTGGAAACACAAAACCTTAATTATCAGCAGCTCATCAGCCTCTGAGTACTAATTAAATCCTCTTGGGCCTCAGGGTGTGTGTATGTGAATAGATTCCAGGTGAGCCGAGGGGTCATCCAGGCTCCTACACCACCTCACCCCTGACCTTAGAGGTGGAGAACTCTGTTCTGCAGCCAGGCCCCCTGAGTTCACATGCCAGCCTTGCCATCTCCTGGCTTTGTGACCTTGATTGATGTCACTTTACCTCTCTGTGCCTCAGTTTCCTCATCTGTGAAGTAAGTGATAATAGTCCCTTATTCATAGGGTGATTGTGAGCAAAACAAGAAGGAATCAAGGGTCATTTATCCAAGTGTTTGGAATGGGACCTGGCACGAAATGGACACTAGTTAATGTGAGTGACCAGCTAACTCAGTTCAGCCTTTGTCTCCAAGCCGCATTTTTCCTGTGCAGGTTCCACACCCTGCTGGCCACACACAGGCCCTGTCCCCTGCAACCTGCACAAATGCCCTCCTTGGCACACACCCCTCCAGTGGGATACCAAGACTGCCCCCAAAGTGTCCTGGCCTGTTCAGATCCTGAGGGGCCCCAGGTGGGACAGCAAAAAGGGCAAGCGCTCTAGCTCAAGGTTAATCACAGCTCTTGGACCTCGGGCAACTGACTTCACTTCTGTGCACCTGGTTCCCCTCATCTGCAGCACAGCCCTTAGCAAAGGGCTTGGCACAGTCAGGGCTCAGGGTTAGGCAGTTATATTGTTACTGCTGTTGTTACTATAATTATCTGGGAGTGGAAGCCATGCACTCATTAATTCATTAAATGAGCTTTTATTGGGCTCCTCCTGTGTGTCAGGGCCTCAAGAAGCCATTCATTCTGCCTCGTTGAGCCCTGACATCTCTCTAAGAGGGCAGCATTTCCAGAAGTAAGCTCATACAGGTTTTTAGGAAGAGGCTGCCTCCAGGCCAGGAGAACCATCAGACTGAAGAACTTAGAGCCAATGTTCCACTCACAGCTGACAAATCAGAGGCCCAGAGAGGGGCAGTGACTTTCTCAAAGTTATACTTGGAGGTGCGCTGTGGAGGAGGCAGGCTTCCCAACTCCCTGGCCAGGGTGCTTTTCACTGCTGCATCATGGGAGATAACTCCACCCAATGCAGCAGTCATCAATCAAGCACCAACTGTGTACTTGGGAGAAGGAAACCCTAGGGGATTTTTTTGACTAAGAGATGGTACAGCTGAAAGGGTACAGTGTTTCTCACAAGCCTTAGAGAAATTCATAGGTGAATTTACAGGTCCTCACTGAGGAGGTAGATGAGGCTTGGTGATGTAGGAGCAGAAAGTGGTTTGCGTCCCAAAAGGATGTTATCTGCTCCTGAGATTGAGATATGAAGGGGTTTGCTGGCCTTTGGGGCTTGCAGGTCTGTTTGTTCTTCTCTCTTTACTCTGTGAGAGGCCTTATTCTCTCCTTTTGTGGAAAAGCTTTCTCGGACCCAGGAGTTGGGAATGGCGAGGTCACGGCATGTGGCCGGTGTAGGTGGCGTCAGGATTATAGCTTCCGAGTCTGGTGACCCTGTAAAGGCATCTCTGCCTCACAGTTAGCATGGAGAGCGAAGGAGAGGACTCTGATTGTCTGGCCTAAGTCATGTGCCTGTTGCTGAGCCAATCACTGGGCCAAGGAGTGTGGTCCTGTGATCATTCCTGGGGCACCTACCTGCTCGTCTCTGTGGCCTAGGGGAGCAGGTGCTGTGTTTGTTAGCCCCTCCTAAACCACATGGGGTGAGGTAGAGACATTTCTCTGGGGAAAAGGGTAAGGTGTGCTGGGGGCACAAATAGAACACAGGTCCTCTTTAACTGTAGTCCAGCCAGATTGGGGTCTAATTGGTGTCACCACCACTCTCAATTAGCTATGTGACTTTGGGCCTCGGTTTCCTTGTCTATAACATGGGCATAATAATGTCAGGCTGTAGCAAGACTCTCGTGAGATGTGAAATACAAAGCTACTGAGCCACGCCGGCTGGGGGTGAAGGGTGGCCTGGCTACTGCCCCCACCCACCCCCACCCCCAGGCTCACTCTGTCTGCACCTTTGCCCTCCCCTCCTCTCCGTCCAGAGGCTGGTACAATTCTGGTTCGCCACTGGGGGTGCTGGCTTTTGTATCAACCGCAAACTGGCTTTGAAGATGGCACCGTGGGCCAGGTAAGAAGAGAGCTCCAGGTAGGTGGAGGAGGGGGAGGGGTCTTGATGGGGGTGGTGCCTGGGGTGTGGGCCTTTGCAGCAGGAAGGGCTTGAGAGAGAGAGTGCAGGAGGTCACGTAGTATGCAGGAGGCAGATGCTAGAGCCAAACTCTGCCCTGCCAGCTGGTCCCAGTGGAGGGCCTTCTGGGAGGCAGGGAGGACTCTAGGTGTTGAGGGCCCAGGCCAGTGGCCATAGCACGGCTCTGTCCCACAGTGGCCCCCGCTTCGTGGATACATCTGCCCTCATCCGGCTGCCTGATGACTGTACTGTGGGCTACATCATTGAATGCAAGTTGGGCGGCCACCTGCAGCCCAGCCCCCTCTTCCACTCCCACCTGGAGACCCTGCAGCTGCTAGGGGCTGCCCAGCTCCTGAAACAGGTAAGCTGGCCTCAGGGCTGGTGGCAGTGGGGGAGGTGTTTGCGTTTGGGCTATCTCTTATTGATGGGGAAACTGAGGCCCAGGATGGCAAAGGACCCCCTTAAGGGCATATAGTGACTCACCACCTCCAACCCTGAGGGTTGGCATTTGTGATGCTAAAAATCTTTGATCTGGTCCCCAAATGCCAGCTGGAAGGACCTGCACAGAGGAGATGAAACTTGTCTTCAGGTTCCGACAACCCAGCTCCCCACCTGCTACCTCCTGTCCCTCTCTTTTCTTTAATCTTCCATCCTCCCCACATCTCTCCGAAGGGGTCAGGTCTGCTCTTTGCAACTTTGCCTGTCAGTAGCCCCTTCCTTCATCAAAGCTTACCGTCCACTGCTCTTTGCTTTTCCTCCTAACCCAGACGTTACTGGGAAGGACCAGGTTTCCAGTGAGGACACTCAAGCATCATGTCAGGCTCTGGGAAAGGTGGGCTCCCATCCCACTACCTGGCAGGTAATGACTGCTGAGGTCCAACTGGCACTGCCTTGTAGATGCCACTCTCCAACTCATGGGTGTCCAGCCCTGTAGATGGTCCTGGCGTCTGCAGCCCAACAGTATGAGTCAGAACCCTTTTAGCTGCAAGTGATAGAAAAGCAACACAGATTGGTTACACAAATAGGACATTCATGTGCCCACGTACCTGAGAAGCTGAGGGCTTGGCTTGCTAGATCTGGCTGGGTCTGGGCGCTCACACTCTTTTTTTCTTTTCATCTGCCCTCCCCCATGTTAGCCTCATTCTCAGGCAGGTTTGCCCCTTGTGCTGGCACGATGGCAGTCCCAAGTTTCTCTCACCCATGGTGGGAGAGTGCCTCCTTCCGCCAGATCCCAAGGCTGACCCTCATTGGTCACATGGTCCTGCTTTTGTCACATGACCTGTCTCCTACCAGCGCCTAGAGTTAGTGTAGAAGTTAGCTAGAACTGAGATGTGGGGTTGGTCTCATTAGGACCGCAGAGCCTGAAGCCAGGAAAGGAGGTCAGATTTTGGGCAACCAAAACCAAGGCACCCTGATGGGGTTTCCAGGGCACCCACTCTGCCAGGCACCACACTGGGGGCTTTATCTTCTTTAACTCTCTGGTACCTCACAACGTTCATGTGAGGTCAGTGCTAACATTATTCCCATTCTACAGATAGATAAACTGAGGTTCAGAGAGTGGAACTAACCATGGCACACAACTAGTACATTGCAGAAGGGGATGTGAGCCCTGGTTGGGTGGACCCTAAGCCCACAGTCTATAACTACTGTGCTGGACAGCCTCTCGACTGGGCTCATTATCCCGCATCCTTGTTGCTTGTGGAGCAACCTGAGGCTCTGGGTGGAGAGGGATTTACCAGGGCCCCACAGTGAGTCTCAAGAAACACCCATCCAGGCACTGAACTTCCTGGAAAGGTGCCTTCCCCTCTTGAGCCTCGCTTTCCCAGTCTGTAGAGGAGTGAATTGTTCCAGCCTCCCAGGTAAGCTGGACTGTTGGGGTTACAAATGGGATTGGGGCCCGAAAGTGCTCTACACGCTTGAAGAACGTGGGGAATGAAGTGGGCGCCTCAGCAAAGCACCCACTGCCAATGGCATTTCAGGCTCAGAGGCGTGCTTTCTGTGCCCTCAAAAATGCCTGTGTGCCTCCCTGCTTCTCCCCAAATTCTGCCCCTTTGTAGGGTCTCCAGTGGAACATCCCCAACCTTCCCTCTTTTCTGCTTCTCCCTGCCCAGGTCACCCTCAGTTACGGCGTTTTTGAAGGGAAGCTCAACGTCATTAAACTACAGGGCCCCTTCTCCCCTGAGGAGGACCCCTCCAGGTGGGTCTGGGGGCTGAAACTGTAGAGTGGGAAGAGTGGGGGCCGACCCCAGGCATCCAAAGATGGGGGACCAGGAGGGAGGAAGAGAGAGAAGCCCTGAGGCTGATAGCACAGAGCTGGGAGCAGAGGGCATGGGTTTCAGTCCCTGCTCCATCGCTGGATTGCTGTGTGATCTTGGGCAAGTGTCTTGCTCTCTCTGGGCCCCAGTCTCCCCATTTTATAACACAAGGAGGCTGGGTGTTGTGGACTCAAGGGCTCTCCCAGCCCTGATCCTCTGGGACTCTTCAGAAGCTCCTGGAAGACTGAAATGTCTTTCCTGACGGAGGACGTGTTCTAATGGAGGACCTTCAAACACTGATGGGGAATTTTAATTTGATCTCTTGTAGGCTCTTTGTTTCTTTGATACTCTTCAGGTTTTGTTTTTTTTTTCTTTTTTGGTGGGTAGAGGGTTGGAATGGGGGCTAAGATGCCACCTGGGCAGCTTCTGGTTCTGCCCCCAAAACTGGCCTCAGGGAGGTGAGAGGGCTGTTCAACTCAGCCCTGAATAGCTGTAGAGCAGCTTAGAGCACAGCCTGTGACATACTGTGGCAGGAGGGAACCAGATTAGCTCATAGAAGTAAAGGAAGCCGGTGTGACTGGACTGAGAGAGAAGAGGAGGGTGGCGTCACATTCAGTAGGGGAAGTGGCAGGGGACCCCTCCCTCCCAAAGGCTTTGTTTCTGGACTTTGGGTTTATCTGAAGTATGTAACCCTTTGGGGAACCAGGACTCTTGGCTCTGAAGTTCTGCAGGACTGTTTGTCCGGGGGCAGAAGACTCACAACTGTTCTGAGGGCCCTGGGGCCAGGGAGCTGCCTTCTAATGGGATGAATTCCCCATCAGTGGTGGTGTGCAAACTGTGCTATACTGATGAGAGGTTTAAGAATTGATGTTAACTTCTCTCTAAGCCTGAAGATCCTGGCATCCATAGGTTTCTGTCTAATGGGGCTGGAGCCAACTGGGGACTGAGATAGGTGTGGTTAGATGGTCTGGTCTCAGCTCAGTTCTCTTCATGGCTTTTCTGGCCTTTGAAGTCTCTCTAAACCAGTGCATCCCAACCAGTGGCCATTTTGCCCCCTGGGGACATTTGGAAACGTCTGGAGACTTTTTTTTTTTTTTAAAGATTTCTATTGGGGAATTGGGGAGAAGAACAGTGTTGGGGAATTGGGGAAGGGGAGCCTTGTATTTTACCAGGACCCATCAGCTCCAAGTCAAGTTGTAGTCCTTCAATCTTAGTTGTGGTGGGTGCAAGCTCCACTCCTAGTCCAGTCGCCACTTTCAATCTAGTTGTGGCGGGGAGAGGGGAGCATAGTCCACCATCCCATGTGGGAGTCGAGCCGGCAACCTTGTTGCACATTGAGCCATCTGGCCATCTGTCGGCAGCTCACGGCTGCTCAGTTCAAGGTGCCATGTTCAATCTTAGTTGTGGGGGGGGAGGGCAGCCCACCATCCATACAGGTGTTGAACTGGCAACCTAGCTGCTAAGAGCATGTGCTCTCACCAGCTCAGCGGCAGCTCAGCTAGGGCACAGCTCACTGGCCCATGTGGGAATCGAACCGACAACCCTGTTGCTCAGAGCTGGGTCTCTTAACCAACTGAGCTACTCGGCCGGCCCCTGGAGACATTTTTTTTTTTAAATGGGTATTTTTTTTTTTAAGATTTTTATTGGGTAATTGGGGGGATGGGAACAGTGCTGGGGAATTGGGGGAAGGGGAACAGACAAGTTGCTGTCCTTTTGTTCTTCAATCTAGTTGTGGAGGACGCTGCTTCACTGGCCCAAGTTGGCACCATCATTGCGCTCTTCCCGGGTGAGGCAGATCAGTCGCCGGCTTCAGGACGGCCGCTCACTGCGGCTGCTGGCTACATACGGTAGCCCATGGCAACCCACTGCCACAGGGGCTGCAGCCTATGCCGTTGCCAGCAACTCACAGCAGCCCAGCTCCAGGTTGAGCTGTTGTTCAGCATCTTAGCTGTGGAGGGCAGTGTCACTGGCCCTCACATGTGGGATCCGAACCGGGGCCCTCTGGCATCCCAAGCGAGTTCTTAACCATCGCGCCACTCGGCCGGCCCCCCTGGAGACATTTTTGATTGTTACGACTTGGGGAGATGCTACTGGCATCCAGCAGGTAGAGTCCAGGGACGCTGCTAAACATCCTACAATGGACAGGACAGCCCCCATGACAAAGAATTATCTGCCTCCAAATGTTTGCAGTGCCGAGGTGGCACTGCTCCAAACCATCTTTGTGACATGTGCGCCTCTAGGAGCCCATGGGGGTGAGGGCAGGACTGGGGGTGACCATCTTGTCCATTTCTGGTCTCTCCATAGGTTTCGTTCCCTACATTGTCTCCTCTACCCAGATACTCCCTGGTGCCCACAGCTGGTGGCCCGATGAACCCTGAACTGCTGGGCAACAGGCCTCCGGTTGTACCTCTGCTCCCAAGGCAGCCCTGAGGGCCTGTGGCAAGTGCCCTGGGGTGAGCAGTCCCTGGCAGGACCTCCGAGTGGTGGGCAAGCCCAAGATTGGATGGTGGCTGGTGGTGAAGGCATCCCAGGCCCCTTGGAGGTGGGCTGGACAACTCAGGGACAGGTGAGGGCCAGGGGCTGGGCTCCCATGGGCCCTGGGTGACTAAATTGAACAAGGGTGGGGTCATTGAGCTGGGCTGAAGCTCAGGGGTCCTAACCCTGCAGAGAATTACATAGGCCCCTGGGTGGGGTCTGGTCCCCATCCCCAGCTCTGGTCTCTCAGTTATACCCCTGGGGTCAAGCACGGGGCCACCCACTCCTGGATCCTTTGGCTGGGTCCCCAACCACTGAGGGCCCCAGGTGGAAAAGTCGCAGCATTGCAGATATTGTTGTTGCTGACCGGTCTCCAGCCCCTTGCTCCCCACCTCTTGCTAACAGAATCCTGTTTTGTTTGGAGTATCAGCCTGCCCAGACCAGATAATGGGTAATAATGGGCCCCAACCCACCTTGATGAACCTTTCGTTTACTTTCCCGGCCTCCCTTGCTGTTAGGAGCTACTATGTGCCCCAGCTCTGGCTCCTGTCTGTTAGTGTAAACTAAGCAAAGCCAATAGAGAGGATTCTGGGGAAAGTTTGCAGCTTCATGCTCCATCTTCCTGCTGTGAATGTGGGTGTGATGTCCGGATCTGGGGCAGCCACTTTGTTGCCATGAAGAAAAGGCCAAGACAATCATCTACACCTATGCTTTCCAGCATCTGGTTCTGTAAGAAAATTAAACCCTTATTTGTTTAAGCCTCTCTTGGTCCAGTTTTTTGTTACACAGCCCAAGTGTTCCTGGCTGGGGCAGGGTTTTTGATCTGTCTGTCACAGTGGTGGTGGTGGTGTTGATTTGGGTACTGAGCTGTACATCCTTGCTCTACTTTCTCTGGCAGTTTAGCTTCGGGGAATCCACTTGGTCCCTCTCGCCTGTTTGCCCATCTTATAGATGAGAAAAAGAATACCTTCTTCCTGGGTTTTTATATCTGGGTGAAATGATACAGTGTTTGTAAAGGGCACTGCAGGGAGCCTGGCATAGAGAAAGGAGCCTGGCTAGGGAACGGTGGCTGCTATTAGTGGGTGTGAGTCATGGTATGCCAGGGTGTGCATGGGGGTGTGTGCGTGTTTGTGCAGGAGACTCTATACGTGTCTGTGCAGGAGACCCATGTGTGGTGTATGGATGTGCTTGTGCCCCTGTCACATGTGTGTGTGTGTAATGTACACGTGTGTGAATATGTGTGTGCCATGAGGTACTGGTATGCGAGAGCTATCCTTCCTTTTCTCTGCCCCCAGGGCCTGGGTTGGGGGTGGCTAGAGAATCAGGGAAGGCAGAATGGAGGCTTGGAGCTGAGAGACTCAGCCACTGGTGTTGGTTAAAGGGGAGATTTGACAACAACCAAGGTAGGAGCTGAAGTGCCCTTAGAATCTCAGTTCTCAAAGGGTTGGATGAATGAATAAAATGGTCAGGGTGCAAGTTCAGGGCTGGTGATGCATGGTGGGGGAGGGTTAGGGATGGGAGGTCTCTTCTCACTAGCATTATGCCCAGTGATGTGGGAAATGGGGGTCACAGTGGGGTAGCTCTGGGCTGGGGAGGAGGAGGAGAGATCCTAAGGGATGGAGGGGCTCTGACCCAGGCTTCCAGGGCTGGGGTCTCCTTTGGAGCACACCCTCCAGTCCTTGAGGGACCTTGTCCCTGCTGCAACTCTGTCTGGGACGTCTGGAACCGCTGAGCACAGAGCCTCAGCCCTTGTTTTTCAGGGAGAAGCCTGAGGCCCAGTGAGGGCCCGGCCATGTGCTTGTGGTCACACCGGGTCAGGTGGCTAGCCAGAGTGTTTGGGCTCTTCCGAAGCCTGCTTTCTTTCTGGGCTGACCTAATGCTGGGTTTGTGGGATGTGAGCCGAGCAGGGTTGGCCCCTGGACCTGCAGCCCGGTGGGGATGGAATGGAGAGCTTCAAGCTGCCGTCCACTCCGCCCTGCATGTGGAAGGCTGCCTGCCGGCCTGCTTTGACAAGCAACAGCAGATTTGCGGGTTGTTCCCAGATTCTGAGGGTCGGGTGGAGGGAACAGGCCATCTGCTGCCTCCATTGTCCCAAAATAGCTGTGGGGAGGAGGGGTAGCAGAGTCAGCAAGGATCAGAATTGGGATGGAGGAAGGCGTCTGGGCTTAACCCTTTGGGTGTCTGTATGGGAGAGTATGAAGCTGCCTGCACCCTGTGCTAAAGTGACTGATGCGAGCCCCACAGGCAGGGGCTGGGAGTAAGGGGGCAAGATTGGACCACCCGTGTTGGTCTTGCTATGCCCCATGGGCAAATATTATTACCATTTTACAGATTAGGAAACTGAGGCACAGAGAGGGAGAAGGCCCTTAGTCTAGGCCACAGGGCTTATAAGAGCCAGAGCCAAGATTTGAGGCAACATGGCCATGCAGCGGTCATCTCAGTCGGGGGTGGCTTTGGAAGGTCGGAGAGCCTCACCAGGCCTGGGTTCCACCCTCCTTTCCATCTCTGGTGCTACACCCTTGGGCAGGTGACTTCACCATTCACTGGCCTCACCTGTAACACAGGCACAGTGACTTCTATGTAGTGTGCTATGTGGTCTCGAGAGACTGCACGAAGAGCTCCTGGTGCAGGTAGCTGCTCAATAAACACCACCTCCCTGCCCTCTCTGAGCTCAGTGTTTTCAGCTGGAAAAGGAGGTAGAAGGGGTGCTGGATTAGCTGTCACCTCCACTCCACCACCCAAGTCCGAGCCGTTGTCAGCCCTGCCTGCATTACCTCAGCAGCCAACTCACTGCTCCAGCACACTGGCCCCCTTGTTTTCCCTGCTGGGTGCCCAGGTTCTCTGCCTCACCAGCTCTCCCCTCTCCCTGGAGTGCAACCCCATCTCTGCATGGCTGGGCCGAGCTCCAATGTTCTCTCCTAGGAAGGCTGTCCCTGGTCACCCATCACAAAGTGGCCACCTGTCAGCAGTCACTGTCAGTCACCTCACTCTGCATAGCTCTAACCTTCAGAGACACGTCTCTTGTTGGCGCATCTGCTTACTCATGTGTTTGTTTGTTGTCTGCTCCTGTCTGACTGTTGGCTCCATGATCCCAGGAATTGTGTTGGTTCTGTTCACTGCCGCTTACTGCCTGGCATATAGTAGATGCTCAACAAATATTTGTGGGATGAGAAGAAAAATGAGTGAATGGATTTCTTAGACCTCTTCCAGCTCTGTCAGTGCTTTCAGATTCTGTGAAAGGTGCTAAAGCCACTGGGGGCAAAGTTTGGGGAGCTTTATAATGGAGAGATCAGATTGGTGATAATGACCATTTTTAATGTCACCCAGAAAGGGAAAATCTGACCTTAGATGCTCCTGATAAAATCAATAGGAAGGACACAGGCACCACCCAGGAGGTAATTATCAAAGCAATTGACCCTACACAGCCCCACCTTCTGGATCAAAATACCAGTTTCCTGGAAATGGGGGTGGGAGGGCAGTGGAGCATGTTAAATGACACCATGAGGGTTCAATCCACCAAATGAGCAATGAGGACAAAGGACCTGGCTTCTTCAAGTAAAATGGCATAAAAAAGGGAGGGAAAAAGGACTGTTGGAGATCAAGAGATTTAAGAGTCATGGCAACAAACTATAATGTACAGACCTTGTTTAGATCCAAATAAATGGATCCTAAAAAGACGTTTTTGAGAAAAATGAGGAAATTCGAACATAGACTTTGTATTAGACGGTATTAAGAAATTGTTAATTTTATTAAGTGTGATCACAAGATTAAGGTTTTTTGGGATGTTCTAACACGGGAGAGACATTCTGAAATATTTATGGGTGAAATGATAAAACACCTGGAATTTTCTTTAAAAAGGTGCTTGAGGGGAGAATGAAATAAGAATGGCAGAATGGGGATGGTGGTTGAAGCTGTGTGATGGACACGTGGAGGTTCTTTATGCTCTTCCCTTTACTTTGATGTGTGTTTGAAAATTTCCATAATAAAAAGTGAAATGAAATAAAGAAGGCCTGTGAGTATGCCATTTTGCTGCCTATGGCCCCCCCTTCCCTGTCTCTTTCCCCGGCACCTCCTCCATGCCCCACATTCAGGCTCAGAGAGCATCTGTTTCATCAGACACAGCTGTCCTGACTCCACTTCCTGTTCTCCCCAAATGCCCAGAGAAAAGAGAGGCAGACTTGACCGGAAGCTGGCCCCTGTCTGATTTGCATTTGGCCCATTACCTGGGCTCCCTGAGGCCCACCCTGATTGCTTTTGGTTCTGAGCACTTGTCCCAGCTGTTCTATAACCCAGGAGCACTTTCCTTGGGCACAGTCACTGGGCACATTCCTCTGCTCACTTACCACTCTCTCCAGCAGCCATCCAATAAGAATTTATTGCTAACCTCCTAGGGGTGGGGGGTGTCCCTGTGTTAGAGGCTACACAGGGGGATCAGGTGCAAGCCCTACCCTCAACAGGGAGCTCAAATCCCAGTCGGGGCAATATGGAGTACATGGCATCTCATGTAATTGGTGATGATATGCAGCCAAGGGGCACAAGGAGAGAGGGCTAAAATCTGGGGGTCTTCAGGGCAGCAGGGATTAAGACTTGATGTGCGAGGTGATGTTAGATCTGGGCCTTGCGCTATGAGTCGGTCAGAAGGAGTAGAATGCATCACGTACTGCCTTGCAGAGAGGGTATGGAGACCCTAAGGAAAGATACAGGTGTTGTGGTTATGAATACTACTGTTTACATGTGCCTACTTATCTCGTCTTGCAGGATAGAGATGAGGTGTGTACCCAGCAGTGTCCACACAAAACAGAGGGAGTACTCTCCCTCCTTTCCTCCCTACATCACCTCTTCCAGAATGACTTTGTAAATTCCCCTCAGAGCAGAGACCCTACTCAAAGCATCTCTGTATCTTGTAGTATCTGGCACAGTGCTGGGCACATAGCAGGCACTTCACAAAGACTGACTACTCAGGTGTGTCAACCTCAGGCCAGTACCAATAATCACAGGCGCTTGATAAAAACATATTCCAGGGCCCCAACTTAGATATTCAGAACCCAAGTCTCCAAAGAAGGGGCCAGGTAATTTGTATTTTTATCTACTTCCCCAAAGAGGTTCTAAGTTGCTGCTAGGTTAGAGAACCAAATGGGGTTGAGGGGAGTTCAGCACCATGGACAGAACCTCCAACTGCTGCTTCTATCTACTCTCCTTCCTAGGATTAGCCGGCACAGGGGCATTCTATGTGTGTATGTGGCGAGGGTTCGTGGTCTAACCCTGATGGGGGCCAGGTGACACCTGTGGCCTTGGCCCCCATGTGATATAACCCTTGTCTGTTCTTCAGGAGCAAGTTTCAGGGCAGACACTGGTCCTGCTGTGACAGACAGCTCTAATTCAGCACAGGGAGGGGCCATATAATAAATATTCCCTTCATTTCTTTTATAAATTGTAAGCGACCCCCATACTGTGCAAGTAGCAAAGCATGAAGCCTGAGCCGGTGTGAACAAATTAATCCCCCAAATATGGTTTGAGCTCCTACTGTGCTAAAAAACTGTGCCGGTAGCCAAAGGGTACATAGGGATGAGTGAGATACAGCGGCCGTCCCAAGAAACCCAAAGCCTGTCAAACATGGTTCATTGATTGTTAGAATGGAGAGTGGCCTTAAAGATAATAAGATTTGAGTCAGATAGTGTGTGTACTGGAGAGGCAGCCAGGGAATGAAGAGAACAGACATTTGGTGTCAGAGGCTTCCTGCGTTTGAGACCTGGCCCTG